AAACCTATTACCAAAAAAAAAAAAAAAGGTGAAAATCAATGGTTCCCTCCATAAAAGTCATGCAGGCAAACAGAAAACTAGAATACTTTGTGAGTGACTGTACATTAGATGGCAAAAATCAATAGTTTCCGTAAAGAAGGTATCCTTAGGGATAGAAAGCTTCAAGGTATGAATAGAATAGTAGCTTCAGTGCTTGACTTCTGCAGAAGTGATAATATGGTTTCTAATCCCTGCCCAAGAGTGGGTAAAAGAATACAGTGTTTCAAAGTTTTAATGATCCAGGGTGAATTTATTATGCTATCTTTTCTGCTGAGCTGCTTGAGCCCTACTTTACCTGAGGGATATGTTGAAAGACCAATCAAATAATTCAGAAAACCTAGCAGCTCAGCCAGCAATGTTGGAACAATGCTGGAATGATGTTTACCGTTCCTTTTGGGTCCCTTAATGTCTGCTGAAATCTCAAATACTTACCTCAGACAGTAGCTTAATATTTAGTAGCAAAGACTTTAATGGTATGAAAGAAGAAAAACAATTATGCAGTTTTTGTAAATCTGTTTTGTGCATTAAGTTCACCTTGAGGCACAAAAAATACCAAACAAACACAGGGCTTCAGGTGGCTGGGAATAAGTGTTGACACTGCCTGATAGTGTCCTGACTCCACATCTTCATTATCCATTTCTCTTTTCCATGTTCCAGATTCCATAAAAGAAAAACTAGAATCGCAAAGTAATGGTGTGCCCCAGTTAATAATATCATATCTGCTTACAGGGAACTAGGGGGTGATAACTTTAGATATATATTCACCATCAAATTACTTGTTAGCAATTGTGTTTCGTGTTGATGTCAATCCAGCATCCATACTGTATCCATGCTAGTTTGCTGTCAGACAAAATGAATCTCCAGAACATGACTTCGAAGACATTTCACACCAAAAATTATTCTCTAAAATAAGCAGAAAGAAGTTCAAGCTGGTGTAAGCTCTTTCTCCTCCACAATATTATCCATTATTTCCTAGAAATACATTAAGAACAGTCATTAAGAAAAGAAATGGACTTACATTTAGAAACTGCCCCAGAATATTAAACATATTCTTTGCCTCTTAAGCAAGAGTGCTGTGCAGAAAGAAGGTAAGGAACAACAGAAGGTAAGAGAAGAGGATGAAGGGAAGAAAGTGTAACAAGCAGTCAGACGAAAAAAGAAAAAATGACAAGAAAGATTGAAAGAAAAATAGATGGAGAGCAAGAAAGATGGAAAGAAAAATGGATGGTTAGAAAGACAGGCAGATGAGCAAATGGAGAGGAAGTAGGAAGGCAGGGAGGGAGGGAAGAAATGTGTTGTGTTATTTCAGACATTTTAAACTGAGGAACTTACGCCTTTGAGTCCCAGGAATGCCACGAGGCTGAAAGGACTCAAGACCAAATGTTCGGGAGTTTGATCTTCTGACTTTAGAGATTAAACCTGAGAAATGTGTCTGGAAACCATTCTGATCTGCCAGGGATGTGTCTGTGAGGGGAGAGTGTGCCCCTTGGGTTCATTTAATTTATCAGTACAGATGTAGCTATAGTGAATATTGCATAGGGACACTTACTAATATACAAAACCATTTAAAGAGATTATTTCAACAAATTAACTTAAGCAAGGTTTCCCTTAGAGATGTATAGGTTGCTACTCCTTATCCATAAAAGTAGCAAAGACAGAGATGACAGTCTTTGAGGGGAGTAAGTTATCTGTCCTTCAGATGTTCTAACCCCTGTGTGGGGAGACAATCTTCTATCACCAAATGTAAAGTAAAGAGTGCTTCTGTCAAGTCCATTAGATATACAGAGGTGATATCTGTTCAACCTGACTCTTTCATCCCAATAAAATGAGAATTATTGAAGAAGATCCTTACATCTCCGAGAGGCTCCCTGCTGAGGAGGAGCTGCAGGTGTCAAGCAGCATGGTTAAGAGTTCTAAAGCTTTTAATGTTTCAACTGGTTTTTTTCTTCCATCACTGTAAGTCATTTCATACTATTCATTTCATTATGATGCTTAGCAAAAAACCCCCAGATTTGACACATTGCAAGTAAATAAATTATATATAATCTAACCATACAATAAGAAAATCCAGAAAGATCTCAGGGTTGCACTGTAATGGTTGAATGAGTCAGATTTGTCATGTATTTGACATTTTCCTTTTTGATTTAATTCGTATAAACTTACTACTGCAATCTAACATTTTCATATAATTTAGCATACACAATAACTCTCAGTCCTTATCTAGTGTTCTTGTCATGTCAAAAAATGTACACAAAAGAACTAGATAAGCAAATATTGATGTATACCTTCCAATTATTCTGAGGGCTGTATTGGGTGATTCTTATGTGCAGTGCTATTTTGCAGGTGTTATCTACAACAAGCAGGCTCATCTAAAATTTAAAAAAAGAAAAAAAAGGCATTATAATTTTCACATTTATCAGGTTGAGGTATGGTTTTCATTTGGAAAGAAAATCTGACTATATTTAAACACTACATGTACTGCCATGTCTTTCTGAGGTGCTTATTTCTCTATTTTCAAAATACATTTGGCAATGTTACTAGCACTGTAATTGATTAAGTGACTGCAAGGTATGGTGAATGTTTATCATACTTTTAGGGAGAGCCTTCAGAAGTTTTCCTGCTCTACTCCTCCTGCTGCGTTGAATAATAATTTGACTTTGCAAAATGAAGGTAATAATGATGAATCTTTTTGAAATTCCTCGTGGCTGTTTATTTAAGCAAACCCCATGGTTATTTAAAATTTTAATATCGTAATGCCAGAAGAAATAGTGACATAATTAAAAGACTAAATTATGTCTAACCTTGCAATGTAAAAGTTGCTAAAATTCTCACAACATGTTCAAAAAGCAAATGTAATTTCATAATATAAGGAAGCATTTTTTTGTTACATTTTCTTAACACAATTCATAAATTAGCAGTTTTGCTTTCTGTAATCATGAGTTTTAATCTCAGAAATGCAACTGTTTTCAAACATAAATTATGATACATACCTGTCAGGATACTTTAATACCATTCTTTCTTATGGTGAAACTTAAAGACTGGAAAAGTACAGGAAAACATAACATAGTAAAAATAATAGTATTCTAAATAATTTAACTAAAATTTTATATTACTTCATAGTGTTTAAAGGAAAGAGTATATCTTTATTTCTTAGTACTTGAATACTTCATAAAAGAAATTTTAAAAAAACTGTGTTTCTATATTCAAATTCAAATAATTCTTCTGATCTCCAGTCCAACAGCTGACAGTCAGTATTTCCATTTGTTTTGTAATGGGATCTTTATACAGTTTCAGAATAACCCCATATGAAACTTCAGAACATGGCAGAAACCAGATGGGAATGCCAGAATTAATGTCATTTCATTCTTCAAGAATATTGCACAGAACATGCCAGTGACAAAGGCTTGGATTCAGTCTAGACATTGAAGTTCGCTCTGCTAAAATGACAAATTGATCAAAGTTCAAAGAAGGAAAGTGATCTCGACAGCAGAACATGAAGGCTCAAGGAAGGCAGAGCCTGACGGATGCAAAGGCACGGACCAGAGAGAGACTTAAAATCACATAGGTAAGAAGAATCACCTGGGGCTAAGCCAGTTTGGGAGGGTGTTTGGTCTGCAGCTGTTTCTTGAATATTGAGTGAACATGTAAAAAGAGACTGTAAGTAAATTATTGACAGAATTTACTGCTTGCATGAGAGTGCTGGGAAGTGTGGTAGAGTAAATGTAGACAAATGCTAACCTCTCACAGCCTGTTAAAGTGCTTATGACTAAATAATTGCATGTTGATGGTAGACTCTCCTTAGAAAAGGTGAGAATTAGGAGGCCTTGCAACACCTGGAAGCTGAAGAGTTTGAAAAGTATTCCCTGCTTGAGGTCGCTTTCCTCAAGAGAAGTTGGAAGCATTTCCCCTGGGCCCCGCTGTAGTAATGTTTACTTTGCAGTTGGTCAACATGCCCAGCTGCCCCACAGCCCGTGCTGCTGCAGCTTGCTTGCTGCTGTTTGCCTCAAGTTAAGTCAGAATACTTCTAGTAACTGCAGTCATGCATTTACAGTGCTTTGAAGAGCTACTGCTGACCTGACTGCTGGTCTGAAATGAGCTAGACCATTTAACTTCAGGTGTGGAGTGATATTACCAGCAGATTCCACATCCAGCAAGAGTTCATCTCCTTCTGCAGAAAGGGAGACATTGAAAACATTGCTTTAGCAAAAAGCAGGTCTACTCTTCGCACTAACACAAACATATTGTGTTTGTGTTAGTGTGTGTAAATGTGTGTAGTTTAGGAATCTGGCAGATAGACTGATAACTCACAGACTGATTTACTGTTACCTGCAAGAGTGTACAGGTACTTGGAAGACTGTGCCCAGCAAGCAGGACTGGAAAAATTTTGTTTCTTTCTTAAATCAGGGAAATACTTCATTATGCAGTTGAACAGCTCGATGAACAGTATAAAGAAAAGTAGATTAAAAAATACCCAGGAAAATGGAGGCTAGTTAGCTCTTTCTTTTCTACCACACCCCTCTCAGCTATGATCTTGCAACTGTTACTTAAGTTTGGTCATATGAAAATGCCATTTCTTTTCCCAGTAAGAAACTAAAGTTTGTTTATAGCTTCTCCCCTGAGGGCTTGTGTGCTCAAGACTCCCCTATGTGCCCTTGGCTAATGCAACAGGCAGGTCATAGGAGCATCCAATTCTTAACCTCTAAATCCCTATCCCACAGAGGTAGATAACTTATGGTTCAACTGGTAGGGTGCAGCCTTCAACAATGCTGGAACACTACTTTAATTCATGCCCCTTGAGCTATTACAAACATGCCACTACAGTCCTAAGAAACATATTTATGTATCATAAATAAGGTTAAATGTTATTTTAAGAATTAACACTGAGATACAGAAGCTTCATTGCAGCTTTCTGTCTTCACCTGTCTCTTCATTTCAACTATTTTTAGTTTGCAGTCGTCATTATGACTGTGAACTCAAGGAACACTTGGACAATAGGTACATAAATAATTATGGATAGGTCTCCAGAGCCTTAAACATTAGCAGAGAATTCAAGTTAAATACTGTCTGGGACTATTCAATGGCTTGGAAATGTTGCTCGTGCTTATATATATTGATACAATTTAATTTCCCATGGTGAAAACCTAACCTGGACATTGGCAGTGGTGGACTGGTCTGCACAGAAACTGTGAGAGTTGTAAAGCAATGTATAACTGAACACAATTCTGCAGAATGAGCTGGAGCCATCTTCTATGTTTGACTGCTTACACTTCACAACAGTGACCTCTGAGAAATTTATATAGGTTAAAACTGATTAAAGCTGTGTTATTACTCATTTAAGAGTTACCCTGCCTTATAATAAGGCTGCAGTGTCGCTGAAACCTGTTTGAGATATTAACTGCTAGAGTTGTCACAGAAAACATACTGCACATCTGCAGACATACCTGAGAGTAAAAAGAGATTTTTACTGTTTTTCCAATTGATATTTAAAATATGAGTTAAAAAAATAGCTTGTAAGGATAAAAGCTAAGTGTGTATCAAGGGATACTACACTGCTATTGTTTGTGATACAAAAATGGTAACAGTGAAGAAAACTTGTGTAAACTGAACCTTTTTCAGTAACTTGCTTTTTCTGCATGTGTTTTTCAAAGATAACTCTTTTATATTAAGATGCTTCTTGAAAAAGTCTCTTAGGAAGTATTAGTCAAAGGGTGCAGAGAAATAAGGCTTTTATGCAGAGATATAAAAATATGTTTTTAAAAAATTGAAATCTGTATTTTTGAAAGCACTAACTATGCAGACATTGATAAGAATGGTAAGAATGTTGCAAAATGACCATGTAGATTTTCTCTATTTGTTTTTATTTCCTTTTCAAAGTCTTTGAGAATACTTTGTTTTGATGTGTCTTTGAAGGGCTGGGTCATGCAGGACAGTAACATAGAAGACTTCCACCTCCCTGGGTCACTCCTGCAAATGCAAGGGTAGGAAGAAATAGTAAAGGTTAAGAGTTCACTGAAATACAAACCTATCGCTGCAAATCTATAAAGAGAAGAGTGAGGACAAGTTATGCAGAGCACTGCTTTGAATGACAAGCTTTGGTGATCAGAGAAGTTGTCTGCATAGCCTTCCGTTCCATGTTGTGACACTGTAAAATTAAGTGGGGGCTCTGGAATACATCAAGAGGCAGAGCCAGGACTTTCTTGCTTAGTAATTAAAGGTCTCATTTTAAGAGGGTAAAAAGACCTCAGGTCTTATCTAGGTTTAAAAAAGGGGGAATTTAAATTCACACTAGAGACGGTGACTCCACCACCTCCCCGGGCAGGAGGAATACGCGGCACTGCGGACAGACAGCAGAATTCCGCCTTCCAGAGTGTCCGACTTCTGCAACTTGCCGGGTATTTCAGCCACGCAGAGACACAGCGACCTCCCAAATGGTCACCGCGAACGGGCGTTACCAGGGCATTCCCCAAGGCGTCTTTATCCCCTCCGCAAGTCTCCGGACGCCTCGCTCGCCCCAAGCCCCGCAGCAGCGCAGCCCCACCGGCTGCTGCCCGCACGGCTCCCAGTGCCACCCGCACTGCCCCCAGCCTGAGTCAGCCCTGCATGGGCCAGCCGCAGCCCCCGGGACCCCCCGGCAGGGCCAGGACTGCCGGGTAGAGCCCCCGCTACGCGGGTGTGGGCAAGGGACAGCTCCGCGCATCGCCCCCGCCATCCTCCGGGGTCGGAGCCCCCCGGGCCCGCCGTGAGCACGGTGCGCGGCTCTCACCAGGAGGAGGGTGGCGAGGGCCGCGGCGGCCACGGGCAGGGAAAGGGACAGGGGCAGGGACAGGGACAGGGGCAGGGACGGCGGCAACGCCGCCGCCATCGCCCCCGGCGGCGCGCGGGGCTCGGTCGCGCGGCAGCAGCGAGGCGGAAGCGGCCGCATCGCCGGGAGCCGCCGGCGCCCCCCCGCGGCCGGACCCCGCCAGCGCCGCCGCCGCCAGGGCCAGTCCTCCCGCAGAGCCCGCCGGGCGGGCCGGCCGTCAGGGGGCGCTGCATGCGGGGCGGCGGTGGTGCCGCCGTGGCGGCCGCCTTAAGTAAGTGCCGGGTCTGGCGGCCGCAGTCCCTCCCGCCCCGCTCCGGGGGTCCCGCCCGCGCGCGAGGATCGCGGCAGCACCGCCCGGGCCCCCCCGCGCCACTGCGCGCGCGAGGGGAGCGGGCTCGGCGCGGCCCCCGGGATGGGGTCGGTGCTGAGGGGGCTGCGGGGCCCCGACGTGTGCGGGGGGCTGCTGAGCGAGCAGGGGGTGTCTTGCCGGGAAAGTGCCCGACAAACCGCGGAACTCGGGGTGGCCCGGAGCTACCTGGTGTCACCGAATCGCAGAGTATCCCGAGTTGGATCCACAGGGATTACCGAGTCCAAGTCCTGGACCTGAGCAGGACACCCAAGTCACACCACATGTGACGTCTCACATCTGAGAGCGTTGTCCAAGTCTTCTTGGACTCTCTCAGGCTTGATGCTGTGACCACTTCCCCGGGGGAGCCTCTTCCGGCACCCATCCACCCGCTGGGTCAAGAACCTTTTCCTGATATCCACCCTAAACCTCCCCTGACACAGCTGATAGAATTACAAGGAGGTTAAAACTGTAGGAAATTCAGTGGCTTCCCATTTATAACTACTAGTTGTAGAATGGTAAAATGGTTTGGGTCAGAGGGGATCTTCAAAGATCATCTGATTCCAACCTCCCTGCCGTTGGCAGAACACCTTCCACTAGAGCAGATTACTCATCCAACCTGGCCTTGAACACTTCCAGGGATGGGACATCCAAAGCTTCTCTGGGCAGCCTATTCTACTGTTCTTGCTTCTGTATTTATGTCTTAAATGCACAAAATACTGTTCAGTAAGTGCTTTTACATGAATTGGAAGAGAACAGGCCTTGTGTTGGGCTTCAGAAAACCAGTAGTACAGGACCAACATATGTGGAGCCAACAGGAGCTAATTCATGCTTGCCATTTGTTTGTGATATCTCTATATGTTAGTTTGCATTTGGAAAACTTGTTTTTCCCTTTTATCTTTTTTTGTTTTTTTTTTTCCCTCCAGAAATACTATTTTAACAATACTGTGAATGCTTTGTTTAAGTGTTAACACTTTTATAAAAAAAAGGTGAGGGTTTTTTTACATTAATGATCTCTGCTTAAAATACTAATACACGAAGACTGTCAGTAGTATGTAATTAATAAGGAGCATTAATTATTTCTCACTTGAAGCCTTGCACAAAGCATATTTTGTAATTTTATATTTTCTCAAAGATTCTAAGAAAAATTGTAGCATTTAAAATTTTTTTATACCATTTTGTACATCTGAATGTGGTCGTTGAACTAACATATTTCAGACACAGTTATAACATTATGCTTTCTGCATTTCTTGAAAACCATTCTATACCATTCTATCAGTAAACACTTCTTTTGATTTATAACTAATATTACTGAGGTGAAAGCTTAAGAGTTTTTGTTAGGTATATGTGCAGGTAGGTTCCTTGTAAGGAGGAGGCATTTTGGAACTGAATGTAGGAAAACATCTTAGATCAGTTCAGAGTTTCCTCCTCTTTCTGTAACCATATTGCTAAGCAGCTTTGCCAGGCATCTTGCTTCTCAAATTATATGTCATTGTGGGTTAGTGCTTGCTTATCTATTTTTTTTGCTGTCAGTTACCTACTGAAGAGCTTGCAGGTGAACTTCTCTTTCTATTTGTTTTAGAACTGTGGAACCATTGGAATATTACAAAAGATTTTTGGTGAGTAAAATGTGAGATGCTTGTATAAATTGCTTATAATGAATTTTTTTTTCTTGTGGTTCTTCAGATCTAACATGATGGAATATTATTTTAATTTCTGACTTAGGAGTCCAGTATTGTACAGCTTCTGCCTGATGGTATTTGAATGTTGCGGTTTTTTGGGGGTTGTTTTTTGTTCACTCTCTTTAGAGCTCCACTAGGTGGGGATGGAGAAGGGGAATTGCCTACGAAACCTGAGCAATGCAGACAGGTGGAAACTCTCATTTTAAGTTACCAATGGGTACTCATTCTTGGATGATATTCTGAATCTAGCCTGTAGTACTTACCTTTGAGACAATAAATCTATTGTTATATTTTCTAAAAAAATTATAATAAAGAATATAATAAATTATAATAAGGGATTTTTTTTTTGCAGGCCTACAACCACAAACTACATATCAGTTGATGAAAAACCAGCTAGAGTGTGACCAAGTTTTCCCTAGCATTTTTGAGGCTGCATATTTCTGCTAAAAAGAATATTTTATATCAACTCCTATAGCATAAATATTACTGTATTATTTAATAAAATATGTTTTCTAATTTGAACTTTGTAATTTTTGTTTAGAAAGAGAACTGTCAACCTGATGGAAGGGAGTTAGGTGAATTTGGGGCAACCACTGTCAGCATAGGCAAGTGCTTATTTGGAATAATAATAATAATAATAATGAGGGAGGTATTATTAATATCAGGTTATAATAGTGACCTTAATGACTTGCTTGGTTTTCTTGGTCCTTGCTTTGAAACAAGGAAGAGAAAGGATTTTTATTTACTGTTTCAGCAAGCGTGAAAGAGAATGCATGGTACAGCAATATACTTTAACATTGTTTTCAGTCCCGATCCTAGGCTGATGTGCACAGTGTAATTACTCAGGTCTGCTCCTGTTCAGGTACATGCAGCACAAATTAGGTGGTTGTGGAATCTTGTCTTTGTCTCAAGTCAGCAGCAATATGTTATAGATGCGAAAGGCAGTGTCAAGGCATACGCTGACCAGCACAAAATTGATGCCTGAGCATCTTGGGACACTGAGTTGTGGCTTCTGCTGTGTTCTAAACTTGGTAGGCAACTGCCTCAAGCAGAGGCAAAATGAGCCAGTAAAGTGCCCTTGCTGCAAAGAAGCCAATGCTATGCTGGGCTGCATTAGGCACAGCACTGCCAGCAGGTCAAGGGAGGTGATCTCGCTCTCTGCTCAGCACTGGTGAGGCCATACCTCGAGTGTTGTGTCCAATGCGGGGCAATGTATATAAGGGGGGTGCAGAGAAGACAAAACCGGGTTCTATTCATTAGTGCCCAGTGACAGAACTTAAGACAATGGGCACAAGCTATAAGACAGGATCTTCCCTCTGAATATGATGAAACACTTTTTTACTAATGGAGTGATGGAGCGCTGGCACAGGTTGGCCAGAGAAGTTGTGGAGTTTCCTTCCCTGGAGATAATCAAAAGCCATCTGAGTACAGTTCTGGGCAACCAGCTCTAGGTGGCCCTCCTTGAGTAGGGGTGTTGGACCAGATGAGGTCCAGCTGCCCCAGCCTCAGCCATTCTATGTGATTGTCCCACTCTGGATTTGAGATGTTGCTTAGCCTCTGTTTAGTATAAAATGATGGGACGTTAACAGTTTGTGAAGGCAGATGTTAATAATATTCTTTGAATGAAAAATAGATTTTATTGAACAGTACTTTTTCTCTTCAGGTTCAATTACAACTGCAGATGGTTCTGCCCTGGTGAAGTTAGGAAGTACCACGGTGATTTTGGAGTGAAAGTAGTATGGTTGGCTTTCATTTTAATTTATCTGTTAGCTTAATTTGTGCATTGGTGTTTAGAATGAATTGCCCACAGAGTTACAATAATGTGCCAGTCAGACACAATTACAGTTTTTCACCTGAGTTACTTTCAGACATGAAACTTAATATAGAATTTAATTACCTAATCCTACCTGTATAGTCTGAGAACATGTATTTTTATGGTGCCCATCATGTAGGGGGAAAGATGTATACAAATATAAACTCTTTATTATTTCTAGATAAAAAATATATAATTGAGAAGTTACTGAATATGGATCAATAAGTGCACTGGAGATTAGATGGCTGGACTGTTACATGCTTTGTAGCTTCAACTTTACAGCTGGCCCTCCATGAACTATAAGCCAAGTCACTGCATGACCCTGTACTGAATTTCTCCATAGAAAATTTACAGACAAGGACTGATTAAAAATGGCTTTTGTAAATATCATTGTAATGATAACTAGCAAGAAAATGGCTATTTATATATAGAATAGCTGGAAAATCTCATCTTTTTTGTTTCTCCAGGAACTTGCTGCACCTGCAGCAGATTCTGCTAATAAGGGATATATTGGTGAGTGTTTCAGCGTGGATCTTGCTCAGGTCTTGTATTGTTTCAACTAAGACGCTGTAATGACAGATTGTGTTGTGAAGATTTCTTAAGAGAATGGATTTGGTAAAATTATATTTTCAAATTGACATCTAGGCAGTGGTACTTCGAAAATTTTAGAATTCCCTCTGCTCTGCTTGTGAGTTTTCCATGTAAAAGTACTCTTTTATGGCTGATTCCAGGCCAGGTTGGAAACAGACCTGCAGCAGGGGCAAGTGTATATTAAGAGGGGGAAGGTAGTTAATCTATAAAAGATTGTGGCATGAAAGGTTGTGCAAAGGCACGTTAACTCCTGTTTAGAAGTCCCAGTAGGCAAAAAATGTGACTCTTAAAAACACTGAAATAAACCCTGTTTATTTCTCAGAAAACTGTAAAAGTCTTGGGAGTACCTCCCTGCTCCTGTTCAGAGTTTCTTTGGAAATAAAATAGTTCTGTGGAACTGAGAGGTTAGACCAAATCCCTTTTTTGCAAGGCATCTCCAAAGTATGTTGTTTTCAGTGACCTTGGGTTTTTTTCACAAATGTTTATGCATGTTTTTGCTTCAAGTCTAAAGCCTCAGTTTTTAATGGATGATGAAAAACAGATAGCATACTGGTCAAGTCAGGCAGTGGGATGAAAATACTGCTGTTTCCTGATCTACTGAAGAGTGCCTAACACTTCAAGAAGAGTTTGTGTGGGGTTTGTGATAGTCATAGCAGGATTCTAAATAGAATATTGGTAGTTAGGATTATATATTTTTCCATGAAATATATAGTTTCTATATACAGAGTACTACAAGTTCTTTAATATCAACTCATGCATAACTTTAGTTTTGAAGGGAGTAGGGAGGCTTGATTGAAAAATTTTTGGTCTTGACTTGCATTTGAAGTACATAAAATGGTATTAAGAGTGACTGTTGTCTTATATCTGTTTTTGATATCCAGTTGCCTGCTTTTTTGATACCTAGTACCAAATGTAGAACTGCCATCCCTCTGTTCAGAGAGGTTTCGCTCTGGACCACCTGGTGCTCAAGCAGCGAGCCAGTTCATTGCAGATGTGATTGAAAAGTAAGAATCATCTTAGTGCATTTAAAACACAGACAACTCTGCAACACAGTTTTCTGTTCCCTGGCTTATTCTCTGATCTTATTTTAGTTCACAGATGATAGTGAAAGAAGATCTGCGTATTGCAAATGGCAAGGTAAGTTGTATATAGAAGTGAAGAGGGGGATACTAACAAGATCTCAGTAATGAGATGTAAAAGAAGGTATCTGGGGTTATAGGTTGTTCTGTTGTTTTGCTTTTCAGTCTTCATAGCTTGTTTTACATCTGAAGTGTAAAAATTGCAAGATAGAAATCAGTATCTGTATTCAATGTGGCCAGAATTTTCTTGCATATTGCACCATTTGCTTAGCTGCTGTGATATCTCACATGTGCAAACCTTTTTTGATAGCTTGCTTGGGTGTTATACTGTGATATCATATGTCTGGACTATGATGGAAACCTTTTGGATGCCAGTGTCTTTCCTTTGTTAGCAGCATTAAAAAATGGTAAGTCTTCCTTAGAGCAAGAGACATGTTCTGATTAGTGTTGCTTGGAGAAATGCGTTAGTTTTGAACCATGATTAATAGGTACCTGGATCACAGTCCGTTAGGACTGTTTCTTTCCTGTCATTTGAATGCTAAGTTACTAAAACACAAAGTGGAAAGGATGGTATGGGTGCCACAGGTGTGTAACACCTGGAGAGACTATATTCCTGGTTTTTATATGTCCAGTAGGCTTTTTGGGGAAAAAATACTTTTTGTTAAATATGACTCCAAACTATTTTGATTGTATGGCATTTTGGAAGTAGAAAATGCTTCTGTGCAAGGAGAAATGCTTGTTACTTTGAGGAGAAAATTCAAATACTTCCTTGAACAGGTAGTCTTAAGCTAAATACTTTGCTTGAAATCAAGAGTACCATTAACATAGCCAAAACTCTGATTGATTTTTGGTGGGTTAAAAGGACAGCTTAAATATTTCAGTAGTCTTGGACATCTTTAGGCCTGCTAAACCTAGCAATGTTTAATATTAGACCACTGTAATTTTTTTATCTCTTCAGTACAACTGCCACCGGTTATTATAAATGAAGAAACTGGTTTATCAGAAGTGAATTTAAAACAGAAGACTCCTTTGATTATCAGAAAGCATCCAGTTGCCACATCATTTGCTGTATTTGATGAGTAAGTTCCTAACTGTTTTGTACTTATGGAAACAACTGTGTCTGTAAAAGTTTGAGTGAAAGACAGAGGATGCTACCAGTGATGCTTCTGCACTTCTAGTGATGAGTGTGCAGCCTCAGGCAGTGCTGTTTAACTCGTCTTAAATCCAGGCCTCTCTTGTTGAACTGACCTGTAGTTCTGTGATATGAATGAGTATGCAGAACAAAACATATATAGCTTCTTCCTGTTACTTGAAGCAGAACTGTTCCCCAACCTAAAAGATATGCTTAAAAGTACGAGGTAGGTATTGTTTTAGGTTTTTGTAGTATCCATGAAATGAAACAATGTTACCAATGCAATTAATATTTTAGAACCTATGTAAATAACTGATATAAAAGATGGTAGTTTTTGAACAGCTTATACTAATGATGTAGTCAACAGAGCAAGTAAGAAGTAACAGTCCAGTTAGAACATAACCTCTGGATAACTGAAAATATAATTACCCAAAATGAAGTATGACCAGCATTCTTAAGTCACTGTTTGTATAGGAAAATAATCGAATTATGAGATTTCAAAATAATCACATCTGATAATTTACTCCTCACCTGAAATTGTTTACTGGCTCTTCATTAGTCCAAGTATGTTCAGGATATTTTCTGCTGCTGTTTATAAGAAATGCAGTTATTTCTGGTGGCATCCATTTGAAAGCAGAAAATGACAAGGACAGTGCTCACAGTACTATGTAAGATTTAGCTCTATTTAGAGATATCGGTGATTTATGGCATATTAATCTGTATTCACAGAAGTGATTAGCAGGGCCTTTCACTCAAATAAGAGATAGGCTGGGGAAAGCAATTAACTCAAATGTTGACCAAGTGATTACCAAAATGAACCAGAACATGATTTTATCAGTACTTTAGAGTGCCTGTGTTAATTCCTTTAATACCAGTTCTGATGGGTCAGTAGTTTGATGTAGACTGAAAGTGAAAGAGGTTGGGTAACATACCAGACAGACACACAAATCACACTTACTTACACACAGATGAAAAAACTGCCTTTGTAAGAAAGCTTTCCATGCATGTCTCGGGCTTTGTTTCCTTCACTGAAATCAACTGTTGCATCAAACAAGCTACTTAAGTCTCCCTTTAGCTCCTAAAACTAAATATCGAGGGGGTGTGTGCCTATGTTGTGTGGTCTGTTTAATTCTCGTTTATTAGTTCTACAGCTGTTGACACAGCCCTCTAAATAAAATGCTTTACATACTCTGGCATTCAGAGGCATTTTTATTCTGTATAAAAGCCCTCCTTAAACAAATAAAACTTGTAGGTTACTGCATAGTGCGGCCATGGGTGAGGAGCACTGGTGCAGAATGTGGTGCAGCTCCACAGCTGGCTCCTGGGGTGTTGACTTGTACATAAAAAATAAATGATGCATTGAACTCTTCACATCTCCCTGCATCACACAAAGGGCTGATGTGTCACAGTGCATGCAGTTAGACTTCAAAAAGCAGCATTTTTGAACAGCGTAGCTAAGGACTTATGTTTTTGTTACTACTGCTATTAAATGGCAATCTGAAATATTGGTGAGGTTTTAAAGTTCAGCTTTAAGTTCAAGTTTTATTTCTTAAACAAAGTTGGCTTATAGTTAGATCCTCTTTTTTTTCCATTGATTTTGCTCTATTTTTAACTTAAATGGTTCAAAAATAAGAGTATTTAATCTCTCAAAGATATGCATCATGTGATGTATGACAAGTTTATTTTGGATGACTTAAGGACAGTCAAACACCCTGTAAATCCATTTTTTTAACCATTCCCAGGCTGAGTGATATTAGAGTTCTCTGACAAGAAACTGAGAACTCCTTTGGTGAACTTACCATCAGAAATGAGTTTTGCATTAAGGTGGAGATTAGTGCAGCCTACACCCCGTATCAGTCTTCGTGTAACTACAAAATAAGTGACTGCATCCTTCAAATGGCAGTTTAGTGGCATTTTCCTGCAAGACACGGATGTCACAAATCTAGGAGACTTTAGGCATAAAGCTGCATTTTCAATAGACATAAACACTTGATTATGTGGAATTTCCCATATTTTTTGACTTTTTAATTTTTTTAAAATTGGTGCACTTTGCTAAGAAAACAGGTAAGCCTGGGCACTAAATCCAGCTGCAAGTATTTTGTAAGACTACAGTAAAAATTAATGTTACGTGTATTTTGCAATAATGTTAATGGAGCAATATGTACAAACATGTCTGCACGTGTTTTGCTTTCACAAGCACAGTACTCATTGTTGATCCAACTGCTGAAGAAGAAGATTTAGCAACTGGAACAGTAACCATTGTCACTGATGAAGAAGGCAGATTATGTTCTGTCCATAAACCAGGTACTTCCAAACTTATTACAAAGAAACCTATGGAGATGATAATGTTTAGGTCAAGAAAACACTATGTACCTGCTTTGTTTTGTAAGATTTGGGTGCTTTATAGTAATGGAGTGTCTGTTCAAATACTCATTAAATTACTTGCTCTTGAAATTAGTTTTTAAGATGGTGGCATGACTGAAGTTCAAAAAGAAGTCACAGCTTGACCTACATACAGCAGAGGACAGATATTGAGCATGTCTCCTGTTACAGCTCTAGTTTGTTTCTGTTATCTTTGCCTGAGGCTAGAGCTGGGAAAGCTGCATGCTCCCTATGAAAGGTGTTGCTCATGAGAATTACTGTATTAATACTCTTATTTGGAAATCACATTTAGAGATACATAACTGAAGTATAAGTAGAAAATCAAATTGTTCCCTTTAATTTTTAGGTGGAAGTCCTCTTACAGGAGCAAGCTTCAGGACTGTATCACCAGAGCAATTACAAGACACAAAGAAGTAAAGAAGCTGATAGACAAAGTAATAAAAAGTATAATGCCCAAGTGAACAAAAGGAGAGAGCTTTTCAAAAATGGATTTGTAAAAATTGTATTTGTTACAGTGTTCACAAACCTTTTATACTAAATAAACAAATACCAATACTACCTTTACAAAGTTCATTTTTTCTAAAATGTTTTTCACCCTTATTCTATGTACAGTGCTGTTGAGTGGTAAAAAATACAAGATAAAACATTCTGTTAAAAAATTGACTTAAGGAAACCAGATCCTAGCTGCTTTATAGATGAAATTTCTAGGTTCTGTAGGGCTAGCTTCCAAAATCGGTTAATTTTTTTTAGTGTAATGTCAAAAGTTAATTTTCCCACCAGTAATAAAAAACACTGATTTAACTTTAAGCTTTCTCCTTATTAATCTGAAAAAAATCCCCTTTGAACCAATTTTTTGGGGAGGAGGCAAGTCTCATGATTTTGGAGGGGCCGGTGTGCCTCTTTTCCTTTTACTTTTTGAGTGGCTGCCTGAATGCTGTTGATGACGTAGGTGAGCTGCTTGTGCTGCTGCCGTTGCCATAGCCATTTGATGCTGCAAGAATCGCAACTGCTGCCACGAAGGAGAAGGGGGAGAAAAAGCTTGTTAGTGTTGACTATAAAGCTTTCATGTCAGGAAGAATGAGAGGAAGGTGGGGGGGAGAGGGGAAGGTAGAAAAATGAGGAAGCACCAGGTTGATGAAAGGAATACACCATGTACTGGGGCAGTGGGTACAGTCAAGCAGCACCAGTGGCACAGAAGCCTGCTGAGGGCACAGCTATCATTTTATATGTGTATGTGCCCAGCCTTGTTTCTTTGCCCTTTCTCTCCATTGCAGTAACTTCAGTAACTCAGCAACTTCTGTGAATATTTAGGTCACACAGTACATTTTTAACATATTACCTTCTCAGTGTATGCATCATATGTATTTTCTGTATATATTACAAAGAGGGGACTGTGTGCTGAAAAAATATTAAAATATTTTCATAAAGCATCTGGATGACAGAATGGTAAAAGGAATGCTTCGTAGAGCTGTTGCTTCCACATGCTGATTGTAGCAGTGCTGCATTTGAACTTGCAGGTGCTTACATTCATGCCATTTTAAAATCTATTGGCACCTGGCAGAGCTGATTTAGATACGTGCCACAAGCACCCCTTGAATGTTTTTGTATCAGGAAGGTGGATGGCTTAAATGAATAAAAATAAATTCAGTGCTCCAAGCTGAGAGAACCACAGATTATAAATCTTGCATGATGTTTTGCAAAATTAATGTTTGTTTGTTTGTTGTAATTTGTGAGACCATAGTGACATTAGTTAAAGAAGTCAAAAGGGCAAGATTTTTGATTTTGGAGCCAAGAATTGTATTTTTAGTTTTTTGGTTTGTTTGTTTGTTTGCTTGTTTTTTAAACACAGAGTGAAGTTGCTGGATTACTTGTATCTGTTGCTGCTGCTGCTGCAAGGCTTGTTGTTGCTGTTGCAAGGCAGAAGAGAGCTGGAGTCTCTGCTGAGGAAGGCTTTGCCCAGGTCTGTTCATGGCAGAGCCAAGCTGAGACAACACTGAGAAAGGAGAATGGGAAAGCAGGCAGGTCAAAGAGGTCAGGTTGAGTTTGTCAGGGTTGGGGAAGGAAGACATAGGAATACAGTGTAACACAGGAATACAGAAAAGGGGCATCAATAGAATTAGTTTCAGAGTCAAATTGGAAACAGTGCAGAATAAGGTATACATGCTATACATACTCTGTTAGAACATAGTTAGATTATGAAGTGCTTGTGGAGGCACAAAGAGGTTTCTCACACTGGATGTTAAGCACAGAGTTAAAGAATTATTCCTCAATGAAGTCTGGCATGGAAGTTCCCTGCATTTTCTTTTTGTATTAAGTGTAGCTTATTTTCATGTGATACAATCAATTGACTGCACTTAACTGCCAAATAAAATAGAGAAGTGCATGCGTTAAAAGTCCAGTATTTCTTGTGTAATTCACATGCTGATAATCATTAAATTGTTCTGATCTAACACATGACTTCTTTAAGACCAAACTTCATTTCAGTGTGAATTTATCAATATACACATTTAACTACAAAAGGAGGCTCAGCAAGCACATACCTGTGGCTTGAGGTTGCATAAAATTCCCTACTCCAGTCAGGTTAATTACAGCAGCTTGTTGGGCAGATAATGCCTGATCTTGATTGGATGGACCTTGGTCAGACCCCTAGCAAAAATGAAAAGCTTGATCCTTATTACCAAACTTTGGTATCAATGAATAAGCAAACAAAGCCAGTGTGAAGGCAAACTTTTGAAGTGCCATTTAAAAACATTTAATGCTATGTCATCCAGTGCATGTAGATGTAGCAGTCACTACAAGTAGAACAGATGCTGATTGCCTCAAAACAGCTTTGTTTTGGCAGAAATGGTACTGCACCTGTTACCCTGCAGAAGTCCCATGTAGTTGTCAACTTCCTTCCCTGCAGTCTAGCAGAGACTGCACTTTATGGTTGTAATCTTAGGACTAATTTCCTATCCCACTCCCAGACCCAGAGTCTTCAGGTGACCCTGAAACCATCCATGTGCAAAGGTCCTAATCAATCAAAGTGTGCAAAGCCTGACACTTTACTTTCCCATGCTCATATTGTGCCACACACTCCTTAATTTCATAAAAAATACAAACCCTGCTTTTAAAATTATATTTTCAGAACAGAGTAGTTCTCAAGTAATCACTCAAATGGAGTAAGTGGAGTCTGACAGTATCTCCTGAAGTCAAAGAGTGCTGAATAATGACCTCTTCTAAAACTTAAATTATGCATTGATATATAACATAGGGAAATAAAGCATTATATTCACAATCCAAGCAAGCTGCATGGCTTATCAGTTAGATAAAGAACTGGTGCATTCTAGGATTTGTGATGCTTCTTTAGTATAACCATATGATATAATGCCACTAAGATCTAAGTAAACCAGACCAAAAGATTGCACATTAAGAAGACATCATCACCTCAGTGATGACTAAGACTTATAGAATCATAGAACCACCGTGTGGGGAAAACCCTAAGAATGACATGAGAATACATATATTCTGTTGGTAGCCAAGAAAATTGTTGGTCTTTCTGGGCTTAGTTTGTTTCCACTAAGCACTATACACCATAAAACATCTGAGACAGGCATCTTGTTTATGAACAGTCTACAGGAACACAAATGAAATTATTATGACAAACTTCAGTATCCAGTAGAGAATATTTGGTAAGCAGAAGTCTTGCATGTCTGGGAAGATGAACACAAAAGCAGAGCAGCTAGTTTTCCCAAATTGCTGCATCAGTGTTGGTAAAGATTTTTTAGTGCAGGTAGAACTAACCACTCAAAATTTGTCATTTTGATAACACGTCTCGAGAACAAGACTTTAGACGTTTTCAATGCTTAAAGCCTTTAACACTAATTACAAGCAGCAGTAGAACAAATACTTTAAGATTACAGCATTAAAGCCAACTGATACTTCCTTTGGTGCAAAGAAAATTCTGTTGAAGTACAGCAGTGAGGATTGTAAGCCAACTCACAGCAGTGTAAGTAGGAAGTTTTAGTTAACTCTGCAAAAATCCTGACAGCATTTTTTTCTCTGTTCATCTGATGTATCTGCTAGTTATGATAAACGTTAACACTAAGCTGATTTTACACCACTCATACAGTAGGCTGGCTCTCTTCATGATAAGAGTTAGACAGTGCTCAGCCAGTTGTTTTGTTACAGCTCTTCTATATAGGATACAAATAAAGGAGTATAACCCAGTTAGCAACAGAGCCACTGCAGTCTTTGCTGTTTGAGAAGATTTAGGAGGAAGACTTTCCTCCCCCTCTGCAACAGATCTGTTGGGTAAAGGCTCATTTACTTGTGAAGATGGGGAGAATAGGAGAAACAGTTTCATCCATGCACCCCAGACTGAGGGGGGTTCTCCCTGTTGCTGAGGACTACAGGTTGTGGGCTGCTGAGATTGTTGCTGTGGAGAAAACTGTCATAGCTGCTGCTGGAGTGGGTTAAAAATAAGTGAACCACCTGGAAGCTGCTGAAGATTAAAAACAAAAGGCATAATTCAAACTGCTGTGTTTCCCACTGTTCTAGGATGAACATAATATTGATAATGACATACTCCCTAGAGGTTTGTTTTTTGTTTTGTTTTTTAATTCCTTTAAAATCAATAAGTTTACAATTGCTGCTGTTTGTGAAAAAGTCTTATGTTCTGAAAACAAACCTGCGTGCAATTATAGTAAGATATGTCCACAGAAAAATATATTTTAATTATTCTAATTAAAACAGTATTGTACTGATACTGAAAATGTAAATGTTAGCCTTCAAAAGCTCTGCATATTGTTTCCACTTTCAGAACATTCCACTGGATTTTAATAGATAGTGAGATGGCCTTGATTCCTCTCCCTTACCCCAGCTTTAACTGCACTGATTTCAGTGAAATATTCTTGGTGTATATGGATGGCAGAGCTAGCTTGAAAGGATGTACTTCAATGTGGAATCACGCAAATACAAGCATTTAGATCTATAGAAGAGCTCTACTCTGGCATAATTGCCTCCTATGCCTCCCTTTTCCATGTTTCTGGAGTATGTACAGGAGTGGGAGAAGGAAGTGGCAAAGCTACAGCTGTTCTTTCACTGGTAATAATTTTTTGAAGCATGGTGCAACACACATGGAACACCGTAGCTACAATTCTGCACCTGTAACTGGCAGCTGACTTCAAGATCCGGGAACTCCACCCAGTTCCACAAACAGTCCCTGTTCTGCTTTTAAATGCAACTCTGACACAATAAGCAATATTCTGCTCATGTTTATATTTGTATGTATGCTTAGTGGAAAGAAAGCATTTACAGACATTCTAAACTCCCTATCCCACATGAGCTTCTATTTCCATTACCAGAAGCTAGGAATATAATTTCCACCTAGTATCTATGGATGTAGCTTTTTCACTTATTCTAAGCATTTTAAATAACCAATTAAAATTTACAGTAAATGGTCTAACCAACTGGCTCCAAAGATCTGTGTGGGGCAGTGCAGTAAACAGGTCTCTATAGAAAGATAAGAAATTATCATTCTTATTGTGTCCAAGTATATCAATTACCTGTAGAAGATTTAAGGGCCGAAGATTTGATGTATTTTTCAAACCAAAGGGGCTGCCTGTTAAAGAGAACATCTTTTCATTAGTAGGGAGGCTTTACTCAGTTATATTTGCGAATTGCAATATACCTTTCCACTGGGACTATTTCCTAAACATTTAGAAGTTGGAAAACTGGCAAGTGTGAATTTTATACTTAATACAATGCTGCATTTTCCATAATGTAAAATTCATAGTTATTCAGACTCAAAGTACAAGAGAGCTATATTGCTACTAAACACTGCACCTTGTAACCTATAACTTGTTAATGCATTTAGACAAAGGTGAATGGAGAACCCTAGCAGTTACTCTTCAGTGATTCTTATTCTGCCTTTAAAAACTTTTACTGTTTGTGCAGTAAATGCAAAAAACTCCATGGTCTCAATCAAGTAAGACACTCTCAGTTTATCAATCTTTAACAGAAAACAATCCCACACAAAATCTGAGCAGCTCTCCAGTAAGCCAGCAGCTATCAAGCAGAATCCCTGGAGGTCTCACACAGACCCAGCTCAGTTCACTACTCCCATCTGTTGTGTGGGCGACAGCACAGCATGGAAAAATCTGTGACACCAAAGTGGTAAAGGTTGGTAGTGCCTGAAAGGGCAGAGTTAGACTAAAAGTGATCCTAGTGAATTGAACAAATGGTCCAAAATTCAATAACACTGAATTTAAAAAAGACAAATGAACAAGTACAAACTTGTAACTAGCTTTGTGTCTATACAGCAAGAAAGGACATGAGAAGTTACAATAAGTCACAAACATATCCAAATCATCCATATCACAAACTACAGAGCACACAAAAGAAAAGAACCTCTTCAGAGAGTTTACATTTATAAAATTCACTGTCACAAGATGCTGTAGGTTCCAGAAATATAAATGGGTTCAGAAACCAATTAGATAAATCCACAGACTAGAAATCTAGCATGGGATATTAAGCACAAAGATCCATGTGGATATTCTTCAGCTTAGAATGTCTCAATGCTGTAGATTGCCAGAAGAGGTACAGTTGTAGAGAAGGGATGTTTTACTTCACACTTTTGCCTTATCTTAAACTCTTTCCTCAGTATCCTCTAATGGCAACTGTCAGAGACAGAATATAAACTGGATGGATTTTTGGCCTAAACCAGTAAAGCCATTCTTATGTTAATGTAATGCTGTTGCAAAAAAATACAGATAAAAAACAGGCAGACCTCATTTGGGGAAATGTTAACAGGAATGTTGTAAAAGAGATGAGATGCATTTATTCTGCTGTGCTCCACAGTGGTAAATCAGCCAAGCTCAGGCTTGTGTCCAGTTTTGGTTATCACATTTTAAGAAGGATGTAAGCAAATTGGACAGTCTAGAAGAGAGTGACAGGATTATGAAAGGTTTGAAAAATACGACCTATCAGAAAGAGAAGACAAATGTGGGACATGACAGCATGTTTGATATTTAGAAGGTAAAGAGAAAGGGTGAACGATCATTTTACATGCCTGAAAGGTATAGGAGAAAAAAGATAACTTGCAATTAAGGAGATGCACTGTAATTAAAAGGAAACTATTTACACGGATAATAAACTACTCCAAACAGCTACTGAGGAAGATTGGAATCTTCTTTAGTGAAGGTAAAGACAATTTAGATAAACATTGGTTCCATATGGTTTAGACAGATTTGACTGTCTTAGCATAAGGGATGGAGATCTTGAAGTCTCCTATCATTCTCATTCTATAATCATACATTAGGGTTTTTTTGTTTATTATATGTTCAGAAAAAATAAACTGAGAATTTAAATCGGGCTTTTAATATTTATACAGTCACATTTGAAGGCAATAAGGAATTATTTAATTGTTGTACTAGAAGAAAGTAGTACCAGGGACAGAATAAAATGCCTCACACATTTAAAAAGTGAGGCCTCTTTCTAAGTTCAGTCATGCCCTTTTTCTGGCAGTCATCATTATCAAAGTTGCATTTGAATTTGGAGTTTCTCTCAAATATCCTACTGAGCATACCGAACAATCTGGGTTTTGAGTGTGTATCCCCCAGTCTAGCTTACCGAAAATCAACTTCAAACAATCTCCAACATAGTCTATACTTTGAATGCAAAAACACATACGTTATTCCTGAGCTCCAGCCATCAAATCCACAATCTATTCCCACAATGCCACTTCCGTCCATTTTTCTCACAAAATGTTCCCACACTGTCCCTATCTGAAGGGTGGCTTTTCAACTGAGTCACACTGACCTGCTTGAGAGGCAGACTGCATTGCAGCGGGCAGCGCACTTGGTACCAGACCTCCTGACGGTAAAATGCCACTCAGATTTATACCCGCAGGGGCAATGGCACCAGTGTTGCACCCCAGCATAGGGTTTGAACCACTCATCAGTGACTGTGCTCCACTGTAGAAGAGGAAAGACAACAGATCAAACCCAAGTGGCACGAGTGAATCTGAGTAACTACATTTTTTCCCTCTGTCTCATGGCAAGTAAATCAATTGTTTGTTGTGAATGGGATTATGGATAAAGCATCAATGCAGCATAAAAAAAAACTGTTTTGCCTAGAGCATAACATATATGTTCCATATTCTCAGCATATACAGGTTTTTTAATTCTATGGTATCAGCTAAAGAAAGTAAACCACAAGCAGTTCTTTTATTCTAGAAATACTAAAAGATCAACAGTCTTCAAAATGGTTGTACTACCATAAAAGCAACAGGTCTGCATTTTCTTTTTGCCCTATAGAAAATATCCCCAATTTATCAATAGTGATCAACTGCTAAACACCTTAGATGAATAATTCAACTGTCTGATACTTGCACTGGCGCACACTATGTGTCTTACACTGACTATCTGAATTGCAGAATTTCATTTAGTCTAAAAAGCAGTTCATGTTATACCACACAAATTATTCTTAACAGCATTTATTATTTTCTTTAAACCACAAAGTGAGTTTTAAGGCCTGAGGAATGTTTAACCTCAATGTTTGTTTAAATAGATCAAAACAAATCTGTTTCCATTTTTCATTTAAATTGGTCTGCATACGGTATTCTACCTCCTCTCTGATTAATAAAAGCTTTCAAACTTTAAGAGCAAAACCTCAGAAATCAACCGAGATTAAGCCTTAAGAAATATGACTCCAAAAAGATTAACGTAATAAATGTCTTTCTTAATAGATCTTTTCAATATTCCAATAGTAGGTGCCTTCTATTTGAGAAATAAAAATAGTTTCTAGTGGCTCTTCACTTTATAATTAAAAAAAGTGAGTGAACTTCTTGTATTGCAGATCCTGAAATATATCTACCCTAATGGATGGTGGACAGTCCTGGACTACTCTCCCCCTCCCACCAACCAACCAACGGCAAATTAAGAAACCATCATAATAAAAGACTTACCACACAGAGCCCACTACATTGATGAAGTTAAGTCCTGCAGGGTTTGCCATGACCTGGGTGGAGGCTGTTCCTGTAGTAATGGATGTTACCATGGTGGAAAGAGGAATGGTCATTACAGGCAGTGCCTGGCTCAGAGACATTTGCTGCTGAGCAAACGGGGTTAACAAAGTGGGCTGAGGGGTGAAGCCTGAATCTTGGGGAGTAGGGGTGGCAGAAGGGGTAATAGGAGTTGAGCTCTGAGCATCAGGAGGGTGTGGGGTCGATGAAGGGGTGTTGGTTGGAGTAGGAGTAGATGGTTTAGGAGTTCCAGACCCTGCTCATTGAGAAAAATAAAAAGTGCTAGTTTGTTATAAAAGGCCAATCCTTTTTGTATAATATGGTTAATGGAATCTTACTTAGCACTGACAATTTGTTCTGTTTTTTAGACTGCAAGTGTTCTACATGGCACGAGTGTTGCATCACGCACTCATTGTTAAGGATGCAGTATAATCACAAAGAAAACCCGTTCTCCATGCTTCATTCCCTATGGCATACACTGATTTGTATCCTCCTTTAAGGCTTCTGTAATTTATCGTACATTAAGTCATAACTCCATTCAGGAATACTTACAACAAGTTCTTAGTGCCACTTTAACCTAATTAATGTTTTTGTCCTGTACTGTTAAATAAATACTATATATGCACTGTCTGCACAATAGCATAGTGTTAAAAACATATGGAAAACGACAGAGCCAACAAAGAACACGTACTATTTCCATCATCATGGGGTTGATCTAAATTTCATCAGATAGTTAAACTGCCATTTACCAAATCTGGACCAACTAAAAAGCAATTATTTAAGAACCAGAGGATAATACTGCATCTTTAAAAGCTACTGGGTAATTCCTTCTGCTTGAATGTAGCATGTACAGTTGTATTTCTTGTGGATACAGTAGCCAAAGTTTATCATTAGAAAAACATAACCCCCCAAAAGCTTGAGCTGGTTTTTTTTGTTTTCTTTTTTTTTTTTTAGCTTTCATGTCCTGCAGAAAGAAAGGAAATAAATGTGAATGGTGACCAGAGCCTTAACATAACAACTGTGTGCAGCAGATTTACACAATTCATAGCACTAACATAAAACCAGAGTCAATATGTTAGAAGAAAACTTTTTATAAGTTTTCTTTTTTTTTCTTTGTGCAAAACAAAAAGTTACACCTTTTGAGCTACCCAGTTTTTAAATTATTTAATGCAAAAAGCATATTATAATACTGTGCAGGATACTGAAACGTGCAGTGTACAATTATTTGTAAGAAAACAGAAACTGCAGATACGGTTCCCTCTTTGTATAAATCTGTTCATGAAATGGCTCAAGACGCATACGTATTTTAAAATTTTTTTATGATCTATAGCTATGATTACAATGAACCTGACAATGTTAATGAAAATACTTAAAGTGGGACATCACTTTTGATTGAAATTTGCGTTTTAACACCTCAGGATATGGTGCTATTATCATCAGCATCACCACCACACTTGTAATCAGCAATGATTTGTAAAACAGTGTAGGAGTGTTTTTAAAAAATCATCTTATTGTTTATTGTATTATCACCTTGGGACTGATCAGATTATATACATACATAGATACACAACTGCACCAGCTCCTATAACATTTAATAAACTAGATGCTTAAATTATGTAAAGGCAAACTGATCTAACATACTGTTTTTACATTGGAGGAAAAAAATCTACACTTTGGAATTTTATCTCATCACATCATCTACCAGCCTTTCATATATGAGGAGATCACACTAGTTGCATAAAATGTATTAAAACGTATACACAGAGGGTGCATACATATATATATACAGAAAACAAACACAGTTACAATAAACAGAAATTACATACAGTGAACAAGAGACCTGCCTAGAGCTGCACAACTTATACAATTTAGGGTACACTGTACACTTAAGTTTCATCATTCCACAGGTTAAGAAGTTTATCTCGGGAAGCATTTATACAAAAGCCTAAGATTTAATGGAGAATTTAGGTCGTGACTCACTTTGTGAAGAGCTCGCAGGAGACATGGCAGCTGGAGAGAGCATGCTAACTTGATTAAGATCCATAGATTGTTTCCGAGAAAGACCAGGAGGCTTAGAAGGAGGAGGAGGAGTTGGGGATTTTAGATGGCCACTTGACTGTTGTGAACTAAAAATATTACCTGAAAAAGCATAATTAAAATATATTGTTGTTCTGTGAGTACAGATTAACTCAAATATTTGTTAGGGTACAATTTTGTAACCAATATAATCAGAAATCAAAAAAAATATGCTCTTCTCACAGATAAGACACTGGTATTTTTTTATTAAATCTTTACTAAAGGGATATCCTGTAATTTTACAACAGGCAGAACATGTAAAAAGGAGAGGCTTGAGTCAATAAATAATTACCTGAAGAACTACTTCCTGAACTTGAAGGTAATTTGATAGGAGGAGGTCGGTGTTTTACACCTTTCCCCAGCACTGAAGACTGAACAGAACCTGATATGCTTTCTGGCTGCTGGGAGGAAAGAGAAATTAACACTACCACAGCAATGATGTGAGCTTCCACACAGTTGGCAGAAAAGACAATTCAGTTAACGTGTATTAAGACACCTCAAAACTATGACAAAATTCCCATCATACATTTCAGATTTTTATGTATTTATTTAAAAAAACATAACTTATGACCAACTCCCTTTATCTAAAGTGTTTACTATCAAGAAGCAGCATGAAAGTGCTGGCAAAAATTTAAACTGAGCTAATTAAAGTAATTAAGGAGTTTCACTTTTCTCCATAAGTCTGAAATCCTTCTTAGTAATTTTCACAAATTCAAGAGTGACAAATGCACTTGAAGTAAAAGAATACTTTGGTTTTACTTGAAAAATTGCATAATTTCATTCATTCTCTCTGTATACACCTGCCATTTCCAACCAAGATAGATTTAAAGAAAGGGATCAGAATTCCTGATTCTAGGAGTAGGATTTTAAATACATTCAGCAAAATCCTGAAAGCACAGAAATCAAGACACATTTCCCCACTGGCTTCAGTGGGATCAAAACTTCATTCATGTTTTTAGAGGGAAGATGTTCCCTTTTTATTTGTTCTTAAAATCTACTTATCAGGCTATCTGAACATAAATTAACTTCAGCTACTTGAGTCGGTAGTTTGCAGTCACTCACAACAGACCAAAATCCATAATTCCAATAGCTGACACTGTCAAAAGACCCAAGAATGAAACGTATTTACAGTTATATATAGTCTATGTATTTTTACCTATAAATTTTTACCTATAAAATTTTTACCTATGTGTATTTTTCCATAAATGAAACTAATGACTAAACAAACATAAGGCCCACAAACAGCTGAAACTAGAAAACGAGGCTGTTGACATGGTGAAGGGAATATTTCAATGCTGGAGCCTAAATTAGATGTGCATGGGTTAAGAAATCAGATCATTCTGCATTGTGCAGAATCACCCTTTCTGGTAAGCTTAGCTTCCACTGATTCTCAGTAATGAAAGAGTCCCTCTATGTGTTTCTAATTGCTTGCTTATAAAAAAGAATCTTATGAGGAAAATTTTAAGGACTACCTTTCTCTTCTTCTACTAAAATCCGCTTTCTTGGTTTTGAAAATAAAGACTAATGCCCCATTTCAAAGGTAACAAGATCATTGAGTACAGTTAAACCGAGTAACTTTGGTCCAGATTTTGGTGGGGGTTTGCACAGGCAGACAAGATGACTTCTGCAAGTACCCTCCCACCCCAAGTTATTATATGATTTTAATGCATATATACATGTGCATGTACATGTCTGTATGTGTATACACATAAACATTCATATCCCTTTTTGTATCTGTTGGCCTTGGAATGCTGCTGGTCTGGCTGACACCAAGAACTACCTCTTTCACAGCTATGTTGCTGGAGTTTAAAACTAGGTGTTTAGGGGAGGATGTCACTAAGGAAATAGCCCAACAGATACAACTCTCATTTACTACTTGATCCCTAAATACAGCTCACTGCTAAAGTACTGAATCTGACCAACAAAGCCAGAAGCAGAACATAAAACAAGACAATGCCAACAGGCAGGAAAATTTGAGAATGTAAGAATTTATACTGGAAAGGTAGAAATGTGTGTGCATGCAAATATACACATTTTAAAGTTCTTGGGGGGGTTTTGTTTGCTAGCTTTTGTTTTGGGGTTTTTTTTTTTTCTTGTTTTGTTTTACGTTTTCCTCTTCAAAGTAAAGAGAAAATAATTTTAATTTCTACAGGTAAAAGAAGTTTAGCTACTCCATCTCCTTGTGTTTACTGACCTGCAAAATAAAACACATACCTGCATTTTACTATACTGCTCTGTGAAAGGTTCATCTGAACAGAGGAAAATGCTAAAACAAAACCTTGGAGCTAACTACACTATACACAGCCAAAAAAACCCCAAAACATCTAGAAGACAGCATTTGAACACTGAAAACATAAATGCTTTCCTTTAACTTTTCCAATGAATGATCGTGACCGCAACACATTTAAAAATTCGTTCACGATGACATTTTTAGGTTATTTTACTTTTAAATGTCGATAGCAAAGAGAACCTTGAGATTAGCTCAGCTGGTTAGAGCACATACTAATAATGCCAACGACACAGGTTTGATCCCTGTATGGGCCACTCATCTAACAGCTGATGATCCTTGTGGGTCCCTTCCAACTCAAAATATTCTTTGAAACAAACAAAGCAATCTCTGAAATTCTAACAATTCAATAATCAAAGGCAAATAAAAAAATGTGTGGCTTAATAAACTCACTTCCATTTCCTTCCCTGGAGAAAGATGACTAAGATTGACTGATCCACTTGAATTATGAAATATTTTCACAGGACATTTAGCTTCACTTTGTACTAACTCCTGATACTGGTTCACCACCCTGAAACAAACAATGAAGACATAAAAAGATTAACAACTTTTAACTTCTAAAGTAGATACATATATAAAACCACATAATTGCATATATTATAGTCATATATTTTATCTATTATGTAAGCATATCTCTACATAAAATAAATATGCAAATATATAAAAATATTTATATCTCTATGTATCTTTCTACATTATGTTCCTGGGCTCTTAGGTTTATTCCATTTTAACTTTTAATCCCAGTCTTTTTTTTCCTAATGCAAAATACAGTGTAAGAAACACCCTTCTGGAGGAATATGGAAAACAGTAGATAGAGCAGTTCCCTTCCTGAAAGCAACTGCAGGTCTTTGGGATGTCAGTCAATGGGGATCCCATTCCCTTCACACAGGCCCAGAATCTTTTATAAAGGTGTCTCTTCTGCTTATGCTCCCTGTGGAACAGTCAACCCCTCCTTTAACTTGAGGTGTATGTCAGATGACGAGTCTAAATGCAAGGGATGAACAATCACTCCTCTTTGAGCACCATGACAGACATTTAATAAAGCACCAATAGCATCAGGCAAACAAATTTAAAATACTGTTCTATCAAATGAAATACTACATCTCTACTAATCCAAGACAACCAAGTTGAGGGAAAACTGTTTCACAAACAGTGAGCAGAATATACAAAGTGACCTTGCTGACCTGAAAAATCAAGCAGAAGTGCTGTTGTCACTTACAGACTGAATCTCAATGAAAAACTGCTGGAATATTTCTATTACCTTACATCTAAACGTGATGAACTACAATTTATTTTGGTATAGCACTGATTCTGTAGTATGCTGTTACTTGACTAATGCAGACCTAAGCAAGGGCCCCGAGATACACAACAGAGGAAAGGGTGCAGTGTACTTTTTTCAGCAATTAGATTTCAGACTGACTTAAAATTACAGTGGAATTAAGAGCAGTAAAATGTCATGTACTCAAAAAGGTGGTCCTGACCTCTTATATTGTTGCATCTTGTCCTAGTCCCTGAAACCCAACTGCTTATTCTGATAGAAGGACTTGTGCAACTAAGTGACAAGCAGGATCAGGAAACCAATCCCAGTTACAACTAGGCCCCTGTATTATTGCTTTAGTTTTCAGCCAGTCAATCCCCCAATTCCACTTACAAAACAAACAGAAAAAGTATCAGCACAAAGGATGCAGGAGAGAATATAAGCAAAGGGTTTCTTGATCAAAACTGCCTATTTAAAAAAAGAACACGATTACTGATTTCTGATCAACTCAAATACTCATTTCCCTGCCAGGCACATAAGATAGGGATAAGAGCTATGGCATGTACATCAGCTCAAGGTATCCTATGGAAGTATAAAAACACAACTGGCTTTGACAGAGGTTGATTTTTAAAGGTTCTGTGTTCATATGCACAAGTATCTAATGTGATGCATGCAGACAAACATTTGAAAAAACAGTTATTTTGCTGCCTGTTTCCCTGAATTGCTACTCCTACTCATTCTATGACTAAAATACACTGAAAAACTTTTTAATTACTTGCTTCTCTAGGAAAGCTGAATCAAGTAAGGCACAGCACAAGTTGTATAAATCTTAAGTCCTAGATTACACTTCAAATGACAAGTTCAAATGTACCATTTCCATGACTGGTAATTTACTATCCAAAATGTCAGGATGAAATTCCTGCAAAGTGCTCTCAGAATTCAGGTAGCACAACAAACTGTACTCACATATTTGATTTCCTCTATTCTTTCTTGCTCCTTAAATACAGAAACTACACACTATATTCTACTTCTCGTTATGATGATTAATTCCTCTTATTGCTCCTCATCTCTTCTGCATCTGTTTCCATAATCATAACATTAGCAGTCATAATGGCTAAAAGGAACAAAATTCATTATTTGGCATCAAACCAAATGGCTGTACATACTATATTAAATTACCTTTCAGCATCAGTCTTCGAACCAATAAGGAACCTAAAATGTAAAATACATTTTCAGTCATGAATTAGACTAAAAGATCATATTTTTAAAATTACAAGACTTCAGACAAATGTCAGTGCTACCTTTTTTCCTGACTTGCTCAAAATACAAGTGATAATATATCCATTCAACGGACTGGGTATTATTCAGTACTTGAAATACATACTTGACTTCCTATCTGTATATACGATATACACACATGGTCTAATACGGTCTCCTTTAAGAGTAAATAACATACAAAGAAAAAGGCAGAGTATGGAAGTCTGGGATTTTATATTTTCAAAAAAATGGACATAACTGCTACAGAATTGTAACTGTAAAAAGTACAAAGTTATGTATAAATCAACAACATATCAATATGCTCACACTGAAATATAACTGTTCTGGGGGTATGTCAAAAGCAGCCCTACCCATAATATTTTAGCAAATATTTAGTTTCCATTGTTTGATTTCACTTACGCAAATTCCAATTCCCTCTGATTTTCCAGCCCTCCTAAATAAGTATTTTTCTTTTGCATAACACTTACAGCTTGCAAACTTATTACTGCAGTTTAACACCTTTTTCCTCTTTCTCCAGCTCCAAAAATAAAAAAAAAAAATGTAAAAAACATTGTTTTATTTTACTGAACAACTTTTATTTTGTATGACAGTTTGCTAATGAGGAATTATCCAAGTTTTGATGAACTTCAATTGGCAATGTCTTAGCAATGAATTCCAACCTCCCCTGAGGCATCTAATACCTCTAAATCCATTTAATTCCCAGTCTTATTACACAATTCTAAGCTAGCACTGCTGGTTTAGGAAGACAAATTCTAAGTATGTATGCTGGTTTTGGCTGGGGTAGAGTTAACTTTCTCCATAGGAGCTGATATAGGGCTGTGTTTTGTGCTGAAAATAGTTTTAATAATACATGGGTGGTTTAGGTATTCCTGAGCAGTACTTACAAAGTTCCTTTTTGTCTCTCACCAGCAAGTGGGCTTGAGGTGCACAAAAAGATGGGAAGTGATACTGCAAGGACAGCTGACCCCAAGTGACCAAAGACAGAGATATTCCATACCATATGGTGTCATCAGCATATAAAGCCAGTAGAAAAAGAAAGAAAAGGGGGAGCGGAGTACTTAGGGTGATGGTGTTTGTCTTTCCAAGTAACCATTAGACATGATGGGGCCCTGCTCTCCCTGAGACAGATGAACACCTGTCTGCCCATGGGAAGTGGTGAATGAATTCCTTGTTTTGCTTTGCTTGCATGTGTGGGTTTTCCTTTACCTATTCAACTGTCTTTATCTCAACCGACAAGTTTCCTCACTTTTACCCTTCCAATTCTTTCCCCCATCCCACTGGGGAGGCAGGGGGAGGAGGGGCAGAGTGAGTGCCTGCATGGTTCTTAGTTGCCAGCTGGGGTTAAACCACAACAGTATGGAAACAAACTGTAAATAGCTGAAGTCTATGGATAAAATATTCTTAATACTCAAGATGTTTTACGATTTGGATAAAAAAATAAGAGAAGAGTTACATACTAGACAATAAAAATAATTTTCATTAGCAAAACTAAAAAGTTTGCTCAGGTTCACTGCTCCTTGCCTTACTGAAATTTATAGGTTCTACTCTGCTGCACAGGTTCCTCCACACAAGCAATCTAGTACATACAACAAGAAGAGCCAAGAACAGAAAATCTTTGTAGAACCACAGCCAAAAATGGCATATTCAAAACAATTCAAAATTAAAAAGCTTCTTAGAAGCTTATGTTTCCTTTCATCTATTTAGCTTAAATTTCTCTATCTAAGGGTAAATAGAATAAAGTCATGTCTTAAGCTTTCACAGCATCAGGAACATTTTAAGAACAATCAAAATTCTGAATAACACTAAAAAAGAGTGCAACAACATCTCATGGTGTCTCCACAATTTGCATGGATTGTGTTTGTGGGAGATTGCTTTTAACCCCAATATATTTTCAATGTAAAAGAACATGCAAATTTAACATAAAAGCACATTAAAGATATGATGGTGGTTTGAACGCATTTTGTTTGGTATTGTTTTTTGTTAAAAACTCTTAAATCAGATTTTAGCTCTGGAGTATTTTTATGACTGAAAACAACAAGCAATGTTTGTATTCCTTCATCTATCAGATCACGGCACAGTTTAAAGAGTATGTAACTTACTGTGATGGAGTTAATAGGTTGTCATTTTCCTCATCACCTTTGAGTGTCTGAATTTTACCATAGTACAAGGGATTGCCAAGAGACTGGAAAATGGTCAGTTTTGTTTTTTGAAGCTGATTACCAACTTCACATTCAAATACATAATCATCTTTTATTTCCTAAAATGACAGAAGAAAACAACCTAGTAAGTCTTGAACAAGTGTTAGCAGAACCAGTGAGTAAAACAGACAAGCTCTATATACAACATAGTAAAAAACATCCTATAAGTAACTCTGTAAGTAAGTAAAACTCTATAGGAAGGAGTGCATAATATGAAATTGAAGTGATTTGAGAGTAAGTTATCTAAAAGGATGAAAGGAAAAAGACTTTATCATCTCTTAAAAAACACAACGATATTGTAAAAGCTAAACAATCATGTTAGACATGGAAAGGCAGATGGGGTAAACATATATAGGAACAGTTTAATATAAATTATGACAAAGTAAAAAATGTTTAGAGTAAAATGTTGGGAGTGAAGATTAAGTTCTCTGGGAAAGTATTACTTTTTTCCAATATGAAACTACTAAGACATCATGATACATGCTATTAATAAAGATAGTATCTTGCCTCTAAAATTATAAAAAAAATTAATCAATTATCTATGGCTGATTACATTAAATTATTACTTCCTATCAAATAACATAATTTGTGCCAAAAATCTTACAGTTCAACTTACATATTGCAGAAAGAGGTTTTTGTAAGAGGCACTTAATACTAACCTCTTTCAAAATTTAACATTTTGATTTTAACTGAAGCTCTTTTCCATCAGCATTCAAGTGTCTGAGTAAAGAAAGCAATTTGTTGAGCAGGGTACTGCTCCCTGTAAATTATTATGCTTTCTTTGCTGCAAGTTGCTCTTCCTTGTATTTCTGGAAAACTTGAGGAAATTACAAGACTGATCACATGCTTGCTGTACTGTAGAAAATTACAAGTATCTCTGGTAATCTTCCCATGTCTATATAACACATGGAAGATTAATTAAATTGGGGCAGAGAAAATTATTCCTACATTACTTTGATTTTGTTGAAATAAGAGGCATTTTAACTAGAGACAGTGAAGTTTGGCCAAAGGTCTAAACTACTCACATGTGCTGGCCAGACAGTTGGTTGTGAGTCATCAGGCTTGATAGACTTTTCCACTTTGGCATATTTTTCCACCTTAAAGAAAATAGAGAGACCAGAAAATAAAGAATCTCCTATTTTATGCATTCAGAAAAACTAAATCAGAGAATCTTCAGAACTTGACACTTATAATGTTACACCATATTTGCTAGGTTAAACAACAAAAAAGTGAATGAAACATAGCTTAAAACTACAGATTGAAATAATTGTCTGCAATGTGGAATGATTAAGAAGTTGAAGTGACAAAAGTACAAACTTATACCATCATTTCATGTGTAATGCACATTCTTGCCAGCCCTATGATGTCCAAAGCTACAGTCTTGTCTAATCTACAGAGTCTTGCAGAAGACTCATTAGACTAGAGAAGACTTGTGGAAAGGGCCCTGGGGGTCCTGGTCAAAGACAAGTTGAATCTGAGTCAGCAGTGCCCTTGTAGCCAGGAGGGCCAACCGTGTCCTGGGGGGCATCAGGCAAAGTATCCCCAGCTGGCTGAGGGAGGGGATTGTCCTGTTCTGCTCTGCAATGGTCTGGCCTCACCTTGAATACTGTGTGCAGTTTTGGGTGCCAAAATATAAGAAGGATTTAAAGCTATTAAAGAGTGTCCAAAGAAGGGACAAGAAAAAGGTGAAAGGCCTTGAGGGGAAGCTGTTTGAGGAGCAGCTGAGGTCATTTGGTCTGTTCAGTCTGGAGAAGAGGAGACTGAGGGAAGACCTTATTGCAGTCTACAACTTCCTCGTGAGGGGAGGAGGAGGGGCAGGCCCTGATCTCTTCTCTGTGGTGACCAGTGACAGGACCTGAGAGGAGGTTAAGGCTAGATTTTAGGAAAAATTGCTTCACCCAGAGGGTGGTCAGTACTGGAACAGGCTACCCAGGGAAGTGTTCACAGTACCAAGCCTGATGGAGTTCAAGTGTTTGGACAAGACACTTGATGTGATTTTTGAGGTTGTCTTGTCCTGCAGGACCAGGAGTTAGACTTTTGATGATCCTTGTAGGTCCCTTCCAACTCAGGGTATTCTATGATTCTACGAGTCCCTTCTGTACACTGGTACTATATGTTTTGTCAGTGCCAGAAACTAAGAACACAAATATCCCTGAGAGAAGAATGCACAAAGAGTGATCAAAAGAACTCTCAACTAGAATTCTCTGTATAAAAATCAAAACTTCTCAAAATATTAATGTGCCATAATATATCAAAAGAGAGGAATTTGCACCAACATGAGAAGTGACTAATCTTTAAATAATCCACAAACCTCATTTGTTTTTCTGGTTTTTGTATTATCAAACAACTTCAAATAGACATGTGGTCATTGAACCCACAGAAGAAAAACAGTAACAGCTGTACTGTTTACCTCATACAAACTATTCTGTTACAATTACAGAGTGGTTTCATGCGTGTTTATACCTTATGGTATAGAAAAGTAATTGTAAAAAGTAAAGTTATCCCATTTTTTCTTTGATACCAGATACTTTTTAGTCACTTCTTCATATAATACAATGTTCAATACAATTGCTAATAATTGCTAATGATAACAACTGGTCTTACGTCTACTTCAGAAGGTGCAGTCAAGTAGCAAGGGTTCTGTTTCCACATATCTACGCACTGGAAAATGAAAAAGCAGGATTAATGTGTTAAGTGGTCTAATTAAATAGTTAGAAGCATATGAAATTACTTCTCAGAACACTTACATTTCCAGCTTTAGAAATTTTGAGGTCATACTGCTGGGCTGCTTTCCTCTCCTTCCTTTTCTGTAAGTAGTCAAGTATTCTGAGCTGAGGTGGAGCTGAGTAGTGAGCTACTTCCTGCTGTCTGTTCAGAGAGGACCTTGAGTACCTTTTGAAGCATCTATGGAAAAATGACACAAGCTTGTAAAACCATCAACATTAAATTCTCCACTGCCTGTGTACAAACACAAAAATATGCAGAGAACTCCTACTTAAATTGAGACTAATAGGTTTTTAAATATTAATTTAAAATTGCTTTTTTGGGTTACACTGTACAACTCTAACTTTTTATTTCATATTTATAAAATATACTAGTATTCTGTTCATGTGTTTGAGCAGTAAGAATGGGGTTATTTTTTTAATGCATAATTGAATCGAACATTATCAAACTCGTTGTTACAGTAATGCTGTTCCAGATATTCATTTAACCTTTGCCTATTTTTCTAGTGGAATATTTGTTGACCACCAAGCTTTAATTTCAAGGACAGCTCGATCAATTTCGCTATTTATACCTTTAGACATTGCCACTAGTTTTACACTAGCACAGTATTTCAATACAGATCTAGTTTTAAATATTGTGGTAATTTTGAAAGACCATTAGTACATTTCCCTTCTACAGAGCGAATGCAACTCTTGTAGCAGGACGAATATGAGCTATTTTAAGCTTTTGTGGAAAAAAAAGTGAATAACCATGCACAAAAGTGAAATGAATCTCAACTTTTCCAAGATTCTGATATGCTTACACTTCTGTTTAGCCTGAATGTCAAACATGCAAATAATTCCTTTGATTTCCTCATTCAGGATTAAGCTTATACATAGCTTTTAACAAATCAGAGACCAATATGCAACATATCAATTTATATATTTTACAATACTAAGCTGCCATCTGACTCAGCCTACACATAAATTATGCAAAAAAAAGGCAAAATCCAAACTGCAGTATAACAGATTACGTTGAGAAAATATATATATACACACTTTCCTTTGATATACAAAAATAAGCATACTACAGTATCTACTACCAACTGAAATACAGTACAATATTGAGCACTTTGAAATAAGATATAATTTGACTGTTCCTCACACAATCCTAATATTTCAGTAAGTATTTCATATGAGTACCTAAATTTTCACATAAAGTATTACTTATATTTTTCTTTGAAAATGTTTCACACTGAAAACTACCGTTTCATTGGGCGAGTGTTCATCTTCTGCTTGTTGTACAGGAGTCTGTTTGTAGTACACGTCACTGCTATTGAAGGATCAAGACACAAAGGCTCTGCTGTAGCCAAAATAAGTTGGCTCTCAAGTAGGAGTTTGTCCTCCTGTAATATACACAGCTATTAATAAATGTAAAAATATGAAAACTTTTACACTAATTAAGCTCTTATATACCTATGCACATGGACATCATTTTAGAGAAAACTGAAAAAATTGTGTGTGGATAGTCAACAGAAGAAACCGTTCAACAATTAAGTATCCCTAACCACTATTATTAGTTACAGAGCTTGGGTAGGGTTTCCAGTAGGAAAAAAACAAGGAATCTGCTGAAAAGTAGAGGTCATCCTCTGGGGTTTTTTTGTGTGAGTTTTCTTTGTTTGCTTGCTTTAAACACAGTACTAGTGGCACTGAAATCCATTTTCTGTCAGTGATTTACATTGATGTATTAGCAATCAGTGCCATAAAGATGATCTACTGGGAATTAGGTTACAATTTGAATTAGACTTGAGCATGACTGTGGCTCTGAAACACAAAAAAGAACACTGAGTACACCATGCTGTTCAGCAATTCACTACCTATAACTGTACTACTGTAGTTACTTTAGATTCTGTTTACTTTAAAAGTATCAATAGTAAAATAAAGGTGTCATTAGATTGCCAGTGCTGTTCTGGGGCTGCACACTGATGATGAACGAAGTAGGGTAAACTAGCTAGAGTCATTCCAAGGCTGTCAATTTTCACTTCAAAAATTAAGGTCTGACTCCACAAAATCTTTAGCAAATCCTATTGTATTCTATGGTATCTTGTGGAAAGATGGTATTAAGTTGGCAGCTCTCTGAATCATGTACCATGCACAACTATACACACTGACAGTTTGAATTAATAAAAAAAGAGTCAGTTCTATATTTACTAAACAAATAGAAAATTTTACATAATTTCATTTTTTCGTGTATTTATGACATCACTGTAAAGTTTTTAAATAACTTCTAACCCACCTGTGTCCATTTGTGGTTGTCACTTGTTATAGAATGCACATCACAAATTAAAGTCTGAGGAAGAAGACATAATGGTAATTAGCTTTCAACTGAGTAATAAGATTTCTTAATATATGGTCTGTAATAGTATCTGGTCTAGGAACTATGGTAACACTGAGAAATTACTTAAGCCACTTCTTACCTGCATTGTAGGACGCAAAAGAATGTGCTTGCTTTGGTATGTTGGAGATTTCATGTTACCAGACTGTCTATAGTCACGTATTTCTGCTATGACACATCCACAATGAAAAATATTAACCTAGTTGAAAGAAGAAAAAAACCCCAACTTTTAAATAAACAAATATTTACCAATCCACCCCTGCCTCAAAATAGAAGTTTTTTATATAACATATAAAATTCAGTGAAACTATGAATAAAACTAATCACTAATTTTTTCAGACCGGTGCTCTTTACTACATGCCTAGACATACCTAAAATACAAGCTTAAAATGTAGTGTTTCATATGCCAGCAAAGTAGTTTCAAAGGATTCCCATGCCAAACATTGTCATTATGACCAAGAACAAAGGGCATTTTGCTAGAGCACAGAGCTGAAGTTGTTTCACAGCTATAACCACAGCAATCTCTCTTCTATCTCTTTCTCCTCAGTATTTTTTTCCTAAAGAACAATAAAATATTTATTTGAGGCTTTATATATTACAGTTTCAAATGCACAAGTGTCCTGTGATTAGAATCACCTATGTGAAGCATTCAAAAAAATCAAAGTCTATCTGGGTAAAAAACGTAAGTTCTTGTCGAAAACAAAACTTTCAAACCTGTGATTTTTCCAAAAGATCAACCAAAATAGGTGGTAGTTCCTCTGCATCCAAATATTCAAGCAGTTCTGCTTCCTCATAAGGCAGACGAATGGTCTCAGAATCTGAATTTAAACAAAACATATTACTTTTCTTTTGCCTTTCAAGTTCCAACTTTAACAATGAGAAATCTAAACCAAACTTGCTACAGGAAAAAGCAGGGTTGGCAGAAACCTATCCAAACAGACCTTTTTTTTTTTTTTTGCACAGTATTAATTTTCACATCTCTTTCTGTTTCTAGAGCTTTATTTTGCTCTTACGGTGCTAATAGACAGAATTTTTGCTCCCAGGTGACACACTGTATGCTCTTATTGCACATCACAATACCAACAGCAAGGAAATACAACCAAACTGGAACAAATATGCCTTCAGACAGACCTAGATATAGGAAACAGCGAAACAATCAATCTGACAGAAGGAACTTAATATAAGAGAATCTTGAATATGCAACTCCAGAAACTAAGTGGAAATAAGAGAATGAAAGGCTATCAAAAAGACTCATATCTACAGATTTACACTGCACCTCACAGCTTTATGTAAATTTTTAATTCAAGCACAGTTGTTTGTTCTCCCTCCACCCGTCGCCCCCAGAATGATCTTAGAAGTGGAACAGTTAAATGTAAGCAACAACACATTCTAACTATTTATATAGCATTCTGAGTGTTTTTAAAAATTAAAGAGCAAAATTATTACCTGAACCATTTTTTCCCCTGAGCATAAGTGAATAACCCTCATTTCCTGGATAGAGGTTCACTACCAGACATGACAACGTCTCCTGCATAACCAGCTTCTCAAGTAAATTCACATTTCGTCTCAGCTTCTGCTTTAAAAGTAAACATTGCTCATGAACATAATACAATGAAATAATTAGTAGAAATAAAAACAATTGCTAGAATATGACTAATATTTTGATTAATAACAAAGTATACATCTAAACAAGTCCAGTTAAATTTAATTGTACTGTATTCAACAGAGTAAATATGTTATGTATTAGCACACATACTTATATACACTGATTTTTTTAAAAACCTCCACTCATTTAAATCACAAACCCTAGAACTGAAAGTTCACAGACAACAGAATTAATGAGGTTATGTTACGATGTTATAAATCTACAGTGGCCCTATTTTTTTGTATAATTTCTATGAACATCATTTATCCTCTACACATTGTTTGATAAAAACAACAAAATATTTAGTACTTTCAAATATTCCTAACAGAAGCAGATATTTCTCTCCAGGATTAAAATACTTAATTACAGCATTTGGAAGCTTTAATTGCATTTTCTTGTCTGTATTTGCTGAAATCTGATCCAGCAGCTGCAGACACTATTCCCTTATTTAACTATAAGAATGATTTTTCCCATGTATAACAGATTTTTAAAATTACTTGGTACGTTTTAAAGACCTCATATATATCCTATCAACTGAAACATTTAAAGCCCCCTTAGAACTTAAAACAATGAATTCTAAAACTCAGATAATTTAATACTTTCTGGCTGGAGTCCAGATTTCATATCTGAATACCAGCCCTGAGTGGAGCCATTAACTGGGAGTTAAACTGAGCTCTCTACTAACCCTGCCAAATAACTCATTTCACACACACACAACTAAGTAGTAGTGGGCTATCTTTTTTTGAACAAATTCATCTTTCCATAGATATTGAAAAGAGGGAAAGTAGGATCATAACTTATTGGGGAACAAACTTAGAGAAAAGAACTGAAAACAAAACCTCCAAATCCCACAGTAATACAATTAAAGAAAGAGAAAAGGGAAGAAAGTATTTTCAATTTCCTGCTATGTAGTTTTAGAATCATTGCCTAAAGTTAACTCTTCCCCATGCATTACGAATGATGGTGACTACATCTCACTGGCTTTTACAGTACAAAAATAGTGGAAACTAAGAAACAGACAAAGTAGCTCCTAAATCCTTTTAGAATTAATGGGAAAAGAGTGGGGGACAATGGGGGAAAGTATGTCATAGCAACAACAGAGGTAAGAGACTGGTGAGGAAAGCCAATTTCTCATACAGGATGCTGGAGATGCAGCATGTTAAGCAAAACATTCTTCAGCCAGAACTCCTATTAACACCTCCACCATCCACCAAACACCAGGAGGCTGCATGTGCGGTGCTTCAATTTTCAGACACGTCCCTGAGTAGAGGATATAGCTATTGGGCTTTCACTTAGACATAGCAGGAAGCAGCCTGAGGTACAGGAAATGTCATCTGAGACCAAAGTCAGCACTCAACTACTCTGACATCCTCTTTTTTAAAAACTGAGATACTGTCATGTTTTGATGGAAAAGTTTTTGAGTATGTTCCCCTGTGTTGGGTAAATTAATTCTTTCATATTTAGCTACGCACTGGCACTAGGACAGAAAGAAATATGAGAATTCTGTAAGGTATGTAAAGAAGATTAATTAATTACACTAAAGTTATATTTAAAAATAACAAATAAAACAATAAAAAACAATTCCATTCCTCTATCATTGGGATAGAACCAATACAACTTCTAGAAGCTGTTACTGATAATACTGTTAACAGTTCTAATCCAACTTTGCTATTTTCAGGAGCTGAAGAAAAAGGATCATTCAATGAATGGCATTATTCCATCCAAAATACAGGCACAGAATAATTTATACTAACTAGTAACCACTCATGGAATTTCTAAATAAACAATATTTTTTTCCTAAATATTTGTCTATGTATGCAAGACATAGACATGAGATTTATTTTATGGAAGGCTTCTGCTCCTTAAACATCTCAGAAGTAAAATATATATCATGGTAATTAAATTGCAAATGTAATAAAATTCAGTTAATTGCATCACTCTCTAAATTTATAATTCAGTGTTAGTTTTATTTTTTAAGTTTTGTTCAATAATTGTTGGCCATTCATGGCTTGGATTTTTAGGTTGTTACATTTTTTTGGAGGCTAGGATGATGAGGGGGAAAAACAGGTAAAGGAAAAAGGAGAGGACAATCACATAGGCCTGAGAACATTTCTGACATTGCATTCGTATAACCTCAGACTTTAAAGACATATTATAAAAACATTTTAAAATATAAAGCCTTTCCAAGACATTGGAGTAAATTAGTGTTTTAAGTACAAACATTTCAATGTGTCGATAAAGTTACATTTCACTAAGCATGAAAAGTTTTTATGTCTACAAAAAATACTTTTCTCCTTTGAGCTGGCACTCTGAGATACTGTGTCAAAACTGATATTAAGCATTAGCTCAGGTCTTGTGTGTAAAGATTATAAAGATCAAGGACTGGCCTGAGGTGTATTATGTTGCTTTATACTACAAGAGTTCAGATACCAAGCCACCAGGACAGCTCTACTGCTCTGTTACATCAGCTAAACCTCTACCCTCTCTGATTTCACTCAGAGAAAAGCAGCACTCCTCCCTCCTGAACATGCACTGCAGGGACTGTGTGATGGATGGGAAGCTGCAAAGAGAAGACATAGGTGCTTCTTTCTCTTCCTGTGAATTCTGATGACTACCACTGAATAAAGAATACTTAGCACTCCTGCCTAACCAGACTGAAGTAGTGATTTTATGTTGTTTATTACTCCTCCACCCTTGGCTACAAGCAAAATGTTAATTTTAATACCTACTCCTCAAACAGCGTACACAGTATTACACAAAATTATTATGTTATCTTTATCATGGCTGCTTTTCTTATTCCTCACTGTAGCATATTAAACTGATTTTCCCATCTACCTTTATAACTGAAAAGTTGGTCAAAAAGCTTAAAATAAACAGATCAATCCCCCCCCAAAAAAAGCACTACTTCATGAATGCACAGAAGATGCACCTTGAAAGGAACTGAAGTGACTTTCATTAACAGTGTTCTGAAACTCTGTTTACTCCAAGATGTTTTTCATGCTTGCACACTGAAGCTATCACGTGCAGCTGTCAGAAGACACCAATTGAGAATAAGCAACTGATCAATGATTTTCCATTTTTTTTTAAATTTGTTTTTGTAGCAGAGATCTTCAGATTTACCTGCCTTGCAGAAGGCATGATCTATGATCCTAAGAGTCTATGATCCTTCCAGTCCATAGGCCAGGTGTGTTTCCACATTTGTGTTTAACACTGAGTCCAAAACTATTTTGTTTGTTTGTTTGTTTTTTTATTTCAACTTTTACATATGGGAATGTTGCACACTAGAGGCCAAGTGAAGCCAACTGTTTCATTAGACAACCACCTCAACACAGTTAGTTCTCTCTTGAGTGTGCATATGCAGAAATAGAAGAGACCCAAAAAGCAATGAAGCTGAGCAGACTGGAGTAATAGAGGAATAATAATTAATTAGGGAGAAAGTTAAGACTGAAAAACAATATTCAGTGCTAATTTAAAAATTGCTTCTGAGTGGACAATCTAATTACAACTTGTACCATCAAAACAGTGCAATACTGGAATACAAACTTAGACAGTTCTGTACACTAAAACCTTTAAGCTATATCCAAGTCATTGATCAAATTCTAGTTAGAACTCAGTTCAGTTTTACTTTGCCAATTAAGAAACAAATACATGATCCTATGCTTGTGGATGAAGTTTCACAGTAGCATTATCTTTTAACCTTTGTACCTTGATCTTTGAGTTTCTCATTTTCAATTGTTACAATCCCTAACATAAGACCAAGGTATGTATTAACTATGCACATCTTAGTTCAGTGAATAAGGGCTCTACGTACAAACTTGCCTATCATAAGCTTCCAACTCCTCAATAAAGAACTTACTTTTTTATTCAAATCTAGATCAGCAACAATCCCTTTCACCTACTCTGATGTTATATATGCTAAATACAATCAACCATATCAGAATCCCCGAAAGGAATTACAGGTGCTCGATAAGTAACATCTCACATCCATTTAGCTTCTCATTTGTTTTTATTTCCTTGGAAGCAGCAATACAGCAGATTCCACAGCTTGTTCTTCTTGTTCCATTTGACATTCATGGTTTAGCAAAGTAACTTGTGCCTTTTTACAGCTTATATTTAGCATTGCTAAGTCTGCTTGAGCTTCTTTGCTAACGTTATGAAAAAATTTCACAAACTTCTGAGTTTACAAGCTGTTAGAGAAATAAATCTGACTTTACAGCAAAGCATAGAGTCAAAAATTATCCACATTTTTTCCTACGGCAGTCATTCGAAGCAATTGATTCTGAAACAGTGATACTGACAACCATGCACGTGGCATTGACACCGGACCTGAACTTGACCTCAACTGACTTCTGTGACACAGGATTAAGACAGAATGAACAGGTCACTCAAGCCAGTCTAGGCCTTACTATTCATATTATATCATTCAGTTACTTTAATAGTACTGCTCTCTAATAAACCTGTTAGATAGATCTGTCCATTCCAGACCATTCTTTTGAAATTCTCTCTTTCCATATAAAGAAAAGCATCTCAAGAGTACACTAAATACAATCCTCAGCAAGCATTCTCCTTTATAACCTCTAAAAACAGATTTAGGGTTACCAGTTACCAGGTAGTCATTTGCCTTCCCATTACCTTGTTTTTATTTCAAACTGGACTAAGATGATGCTATTAAATTACACAGTTTAGTCCACAAAACTCATAATAATTGTTTCTGCTGCAGTCTTAGCCTTAGGTAACTACTACAGTGGGAAGAGTTTATTCTTCTTTTAACAAAGAAATTAACTGAAATAAAAAAATGTATTTTCTGAACTTGCCTGTTTAGACAGCTATTAAAAGCTTCTCAGCAATTTCCACTTACCTTTATCTCGGGCTCTTTTTCACATTCTTCTGTATATAAATCATACAGTTTTTGAAACACAGATTTTCTGCAATTAAAAAAGCTTAACATGTAACCAAAATTAAATCAAAAGAAATGCTATTTAAAAACTGAATACTGAAACTCTTAATACCTTCCACTGGATAAATATTTTCTTTTGGGAGGTCTCTGACGGGCACTTTCAATGATATACTACAAGAGAAAAGTAAACAAAAAAAAATAACATACATTACAAATAAATTTAATTCTACCTACCACACAACTTTAGATCATTACCAGACAGTGTTCCAAATATACAGAAAGTAATTAGCAGCTATGCTACATGACAGTTCCAAAAGTGTACTGAACACAATTTGGTCTATGTTATAGTCATCAACAAGAACACAGCTCAGTTTAGTTGTCAAAAGTAGCATTTCATGGCTATGGCATTAGTTGCACACAAAGTCTTGATTCTGCATTCATGTTTTTTAATTACAGCAGTAATTAACACTACTGTACTTCGCTAACATTACTGAAGTTAACATAGTTAACACACTGACAGTAATGGGGTGAACATGCTAAGATATGACCAAATTTATGCATACTGGCTCGACAACATCTACAATCAAGTACTAATTAATCTACAATCAAGTTCAAAACTAATTTCAGGAAGTTTAGTTTTCCCCTTGTCTTTTGCATTTACATTTGTTTTCTCTATAGAGCTGTGCATTATAAATACAATTCACATTCATTAAATATTCCTATTAAAAAATAATGAGAGATATCATCCTACATTAAATATGATTTATATTCTAATAAGGTTTTTCCTAATCATTGTTCTTTGTCTGAAGTATTTTGATTAACAGCTTAGTTCAGAGTTTCAGTGAAGAGAGGATTGCCCACAGAAACATTTCCCATTACAGGAATGGTTCAAGGTAACGTGTCACGTGTCGGCATGAAAAAACATGAATGTGAAGACACTTGCCTCTTTGTTCTAACTGGGCTATCCTTAAAAACAAACAGGATTTTACCATATATTTCTGCCAGCTGCCTTGTAGAGCTCTGCCTATTTCACAGTACACAGATGCTAGTTTAAAAAGAGAAAACTGAAGTCCTGCATAGTCTATCACCATCATACTTGATGTCTGTAGGACAATGGGTAAGAGACAAATACATGACAACAATTGTAGTGAGAATTTTGTAAACTCAGTGTTACATGTATGGGTGATTATTTATACACATACCTATATTTACATAACACGCTTTTCCACTGCTTTTCAGACAAAATAAAAATATAACTTGTATTTTTATAACTGTGAGATGAATATATTATGTACAAGCAAGTAATTTAGCTGCTTCTTACCTCAGCACGATCCAATGCCTGTTCTAAAGCTTGTTGCTGCAAGAATCACAAAGGGGTTTTTCAAATTACATGACTTGTTTAAACATCCTCATGCATAAAAACACCACATATGGACTTATAATTAGAAGATGTGCTCAAACATTCTTTGGCACATACTAAACAGCTGAAATCTCATGTAACTGTATCACAAGGTTTGGCTAAATTATGTAGCCTTAGAACAATGAAAGGCAATTGAAATTAAAAATAGGAATAGAAATTACACCTAATAAAAGCCGTAACAAATATTAACCAAATATTAACCAAACTTAGCGATGACAAGTAGATAACCTGTTCTCCTTTGTTAAGGTGGTCACTGATTCAACAGAAAGCCTAAGCCAAAGCGTCCCTCAACAGTCGTCCAGGAAGAAAACATTTTAACTTCTAGATACTGGTGCCAAAGTATTAATACACAAAATGGAAATTAAGATCTTGTGTTCAGAATGTTACTTCTGCACATGATACAATTTGAGAAGAGTTTCTTATGATATGCTGTTAGGTGGCTAAGAAACAAAACCAGCTTCCACTCCAGATTTCCTCTAAAGTAGGCTAAATCTGGACAACTCTACCAAAACACAGCAAAATCTGGAAAAGCTACTCTATATCCCATTGTATAGTATACTCAATACCATTTAGTTTAATGAATTTAGCTCCTCTGAAATGTCTTTCACATCAGTATACCTGCAGCCAATATTCCTGTATTCCAAGAAGATCAAAAAGAATAATGAGTTCTTGGACTAAAATTTAACAAGTATTTAAATCCGGAATAAAAAAAAAAAGAAAGTTTTCCTTGGGGCCTAACTTTCCTCCTCTGGCGCTCACTTTAGCTCTGATGCCTCCTTTGCATCCTTTGCACAGGAATAACATGCAGCTGCTAAACGCACTAGACAATGAAACTGATTCGGGGCAGGGAGGAGAGAGAGAACAATACTAAGAACCAAAGTCTTGTAGGAGAATGCTTGGGACTTGATTCAGCTCCACGAAAGTCCAGAGAAGCAATCCATTAATTTCAGGGACAGGTGGATAATGCCCTTAGGAATGTATTGTAACAAGCTCTAATATTCAGTAAAGCTTAGAAACATTTGTAATAGATATCTCTTCCCACATACATATTTATGTTATTTCCTCAGTTTAAACCATCCCTATCAGCTGTTTGTGAAAGCAAATACCTTTACCTTGAACGTCAAGGAACAGAAGGCCCGTGAGCCATGTCCAATCCAAGATAGCACCAGTTATTTCACAGATAGTAAATATTTCATATTTTGTTATAACAGAATTCAAGGAAGAAAAACATTACACAATAACAAAGTAACAACAAAGAAATATACAACACAATCACTCAGGCATTTTACCATTCATCTACAAAATACCTAACACAAAATTTCTTACCTGTTCACGAAAAAAGCCATCTACTTAACATGCTATTACTTCTTAGAATCCACCACTACAGAAGATGTAAATTTTCAAGTGTCTAGGTGTTTTAATGAAAATGTCTAATACTCATGCTTTCTATTTAAGTCTAGTGGATAACTGCATGATTTCAGATATTCAGTTTCCTGACTGCTTAACATTAGGTAACAATCCAAAGCAATATTAGGACTAGTGAACAGAATACTATGTGGAAGCAGGATTTATATACACCCAACTGTCCATCAATTGTGACTGAAAACCCACCACTAGCTTCATATTACAATTCCTATGATGCACTGGTCAGTGACTAAGCGTTTAGAAGCATTCACAAGCTAGGAAGGAATGAACATACCCCTGAAAAAAAGAATGTCAGAGCCCAGAAGTGACATGCAAAATAATGTTTTTAAAGAAGATGTGAAACATTGATGGTATTCTCCTCGTCAACCAGACAGCTAGCAGGCTAGAGCAAAAGGATCTGAAAATATATTATCCGAATTGTAACTTACCATTGTAGTTGAGGCCACGCGACCAAACTACAAAAGAAGTACTTAGGGAGTTTGGTGCAGCAGGGAAAGAATCATATTTTATGGTCACACTTGAGGTACTGAAAAAAAAAAAAAAAAAGAGAAAAAGTATCACTAAGAAACTAAATGAGTATTTTATTTAAATATAAGATTTTTTGTAGCTAATTGTACTGAAATGTCATTTGCATAGTATTCTTTCCTCCAAACGTAGAAACAAAAGAGTTCCATTCACTACTAGTGTAGAGGTTCTCTTTCTAATGACTACTACTCCTCTTTATAATCATTTTGCACTAGTTACATTAAATAGTAATGAGCATGTAAGTAAGCTTACATAGCCAAGTACTCTTCTCTATTGCAGTAGTCTGCCTAGACATCCCACATATCATATCCTCAGATGCACAGAAGGCTAAAATATTTAATGACAATCAGAGCGCTTAACGCACTCCATCAGTTCTTTCGTTTTGCTTTCGAGCAGGTGTTATTCCCAGCCAACACCTCCACTAGCGGTGTCTTCCAGCACTGTTTTGCGATGCTAGTTGAACACTGACTCACGGCAAGCGTCTGCCGGGGCGGAGAGCGACCGAGGGCAGCGGCCGGCCAGGAAGGGCCGGGCCGGCCTAAGACGAGGGCGCAGGACGGGTCCCAGTCCCGACACCTCCCGCCGCCCCCTCCCCGGCGCGGTCGGGGGAGCGCCATGCCCGGGGGACCCCCGCGCCCCGCCAAGCGCAGCTACCTGTGGGCCTGTCCCGCGGAGCCCCCGGTGCATCGGCCCCGCCGCCCGCCCGACCATCCACCCCGCCGCTTCCGAGCCGCTCCGGAAGGGGCGGGAGCGGCGCCATGGAGAGCGGGCGGGCAGGGCGGGGAGAGGCTGGCGGCGCTGTTTGGGGGCGGAAGTCCGGAGGGTTCAGTGGTAAAGAAAGAGCTGGGAGAGTTCTTCGAGGCGGAGGATTAATTCCGTTGTGAGGGTCAGAATAGATTTCCGTGTGTCTCAAGGGTGCTGTAAGGATATTTGAAGGTTTTTGGTGTGTAACTCTCGGCCAGCAGCACGTCGTGGAAACTGGTTTCTTTTGAGAGCAGAGAGGATTCAGAGTATCCTGAGCTGGAAGGAACCCACTAGGATCATCAAGTTCCTGACCCTGCACAGGACAACCCCAAAAATCACACCATGTGTCTGAGAACATTGTCCAGACACTTATTGAACTCTATCAGGCTTGGTGCCACGACCACCTCCTTGGGGAGCCTGTTCGAGTGCCTGACCACCCTCTGGGTAAAGAACCTTACTGTAAAATCCAACCTAAACCTCCTACGACACAGCTTCATGCCATCCCTTTGGATCCTGTCACTAGTCACCTGAGAGAAGTCCCTCCTCTTCCCCTCACAAGGAAGTTGTAGGCTAGGATGAGGTCTCCGCTCTGTCTCTGCTTCTCCAGGCTGAACAGAGCAAGTGACCTCAGCTGCTCCTGATATCGCTTCCCCTCAAGGCCCTTTACCATCTTCTTGTCCCTCCTTTGGACGCTCCCTAAAAGCTTAATATCTTTCTTACGTTGTAACACCCAAGACTGCATGCAGGACTCGAAGTGAGGGTGCACCAGTGCAGAGAGTAGCCAGACAATCCCCTTGCTCGACTGGCTGGCAATGCTTTGCCTGATGCCCCCCAGGACACGGTTGGCCCTCCTGGCTGTCAGGTCACTGCTGACTCATATTCAACGTGCCATCGACCAGGACCCCCAGGTCCCTTTCTGCGGGAAACTTTGCCTTGTGGCTAGTGTGATAGCAATTCAGGGTCAGAGAGGGATAACCTGGAAAAGGTACGGTGGGCACATGGCCGGGGCAGCTTTGCTTAGTATAAACTCAGTGATTGTAAAGTTTACTCAGTCTTAATGCTCTGTATTTTCATAATTCTTGTTTGAGGTACACAGGAATTATGCTACAGAATGAAACTGGGAACATTTAAGCCTCTTTTCTCTGTAATAAATTATTGTGTTTTAGCAGCTACTTCTGGGCAACTTGCTAGGGCTGCTGGATGGTTCATCAGATCATTATGTAAACATTATGCCATCAATTTGAAGTGATAAAAGCTAATTTTAAAATTTAATTAAAAGCCTGCTGTTTGTAAAGTGAAAAAAATATGACTGCCTGGTTTTTGGGGTTGGTTTGTTTATTTTTCCAGAATGTTCAATTTTCTGTAAAATCAGACAAAATAGATAAAGGAGAACTTCACAGCAGATTTGATATGTTCATGTACCTATTGAAAATTTGTTTGACTTATATAGTAAATAGCTAAGGGATTGGAAGCAACTTGAGAAGAAATTTAGTGTGACTTCTCCCTCCAGAGGGGTTAAATAATGCCTGTATTGTTTTTGGCAGATAGTTGTCTAACAATGATCAGATCTGTCTGCAAGCAAAGTTAAATAACATTGTTGTTGGATTTGTAACAACACATATGTTATTACAGATTAACAAACATCACTATTGCTTGATAAAATGTCTTTATGATAAAGGATTGAAACATCATCACATTAGGAAAACGGTTAATTTATTATTTGTATTCCTAAAAGAATAAGAACTGGGGAAAAAATATTTTATCTTCCCACAACAGGAACAGAAGAGTCGAAGGATGTGGCTAAAATAAACTAGTCCTAGGATCACATGAGATGTGTGCAGTGCTGTGTTAGATCACTTCTAAGGTCATCCATACTCTTAAGTATTTCCAAGCTCTCCTAGGCACATCTCCACTATACATGGCACATACTGTCCCTGGGTACAGCACTTACCTGACTTGTAGCATGTTACTTCCAGGCCTTTCTAGAACTTCCACCTGAGTTATAATTTATTTGCTCACAACAATAAGTGAATCTTCTACCCTGTGATCCAGCAGCCAGTCCTATGGGAAAAAAACACACCTAAGACTACCTTTCAATGGCTTTGTTAACCTTGCAGTGCTGACTTGTCCTAAAAAGGAGTGACTTGAAAGCTCAAGAAAATTTAAACACTGTGAGCTCCAGGTAGCTCTGGACAGTGTGAAGTGCTTCCTGGAGGACTACCCAAGTACTCTGTCCTGGTGCTGACACTGTTTTGATTTCAGCACTGTGTTCTTTGTAGTCTTCTGTGTCTCACAGCATAGCCAAAATGTTGTGAGTCATAATTGGTGATGGTGCCTAGAGTCTCTCAGAGGTTCTCAGTACATAGAATAAAAACCTCTGATGAGATCAGTGTTTTTCATCTGTGGGCATAAACAAGTTGTACACCTAATTTCAGCAATTGAGAAGCTACTTTATTGGTTTGTTAGGAGCCCATGTTGTTCCTGAACAACAGAGAAAAGGTAATCAGGATCCCATCCTGGTCCAGGAGCAGGTGGCAGTTCTTCCTCAACTCATCCAGGCACTTAATAGATGTATGGTACAGCAGTTCTGCAGCTGCATTTGATCCAGCTTTGAAGTTAGCTCACCTTTGAGCATGCAGTTGGGCTACCTTTTAACCTAAATTTTTCTAAACTTCTGCACTGTATGCCATCTTCTTCACATTGCCCAGTAACTGTAAAAGTTGTCAGAACATGATTGTCATTGTGAAAGCCACTTTTGGGTCAATTTTGTTGTGAACTGAAGAACACTGGGAATGTGAAAGTGCTAAATAAACTGTTAACTGGGCTTTGTTTTGAAAGTATTAATTATATTTTTTTTTTATATCAGCTTAAGTCTGTAACTTTCTGTATTTTAATGGGATTAAAAAATTGAACATAGCAAAATACAGGCTCATTTCATCTCAGCTTCATCTGATGCTCAGAGCAACATTGTGGAGCTCTGGCTCGCCACCAGAGTGACAATCTGCAGGAAGTTCTCGTGTGTCTAAACTCTGTCATGTTTCGCTTGGATTAGACAGGCTACCTCCCTCTGCCCAGCAACATCCTCACCCCCTTTGAAGGACCTACACATTAACATGTTCTTTTGCCATGGTCTAGCTTGGTGAGCCTGATGCCAACTCTTAGTTGACTGCACAATCTGTTACTTCTCAGTGCCCATCTGATCAGGTCTTCTGTTGGCTCATGTTGTGTTGCTTTGGTAGCAGGTCTTTGCCGGTGTGCCAAATGCCAGAAAGTCCCACAGGCATTCACTGCAGAGAAACGGTGACCTGAGTAGCTGCAGAAATTTCATAAGACCTCCTATCCAAAGGCTTAGTTAATAATCCCAATGTCACATTTTCTGGTCCATTCCTCTAGAAAGATTATTGTTATGTGGAAAAAATTATCACTTTACTCTCAGCTGTTCACTGTTTGGCTGTAGAAAATGAAAGATTGAACTGTGTTCTTAGCCTGTACCAGCAGGGTTCATGTTTTGAGTGCCTTTTTTCTCCACTTTAGGCTGGAGTGGATTTCATGATGAAAACTGCCTTCCCCAGTTACTCATTCTTTTGGAAATCTTAGACTTTCCTATACCAACTCATATTTTTTTCATTTCTATCCAGTTGTCTTTGTGTTCTTGTGCTCTCTACAATCCACAGGGAAAAGCCTGAAGATTTTGAAATAGCAAAACTGGAGGTTTGAAACTGATCTGGGAACCCAATGACTTTTCCAGTGAAAAAAATGGAAAATCAGTCCTCGGGGCTGGTAGTCCCTCTTGTTGCTTGTCCATCTCGTCCACTCTTGAGTGTAACCCACTTAAAGAACCACCATCAAAGGTATTGGCAAAAAACAGGTTTTAATATGAATTTGTGAAAGTGCAACTTTAACAGAGTTTGATGGAAAGGTTCACTCTATTGCTTATTATGTAGATGAAACATACAGAGGAAAATTGGATTGGAATCAACATAGAATAATTTACACAGGGACTGGGGATTCAAAGATGAAGGTGCAAAGGATATGAACACCAAAGATAAGGGTGCAAAAGGGTTTAGCAGCACTTAATTATTAACTGATTTAACAATTAAAAAGTGATTAAATAGGATTTACTACAATTAAAAGCAGTGACAATTATAGATTCATAATAGCAACATTCATGTAATGATAAATTCACACAGATGCACACAAGCGAAGAGAGGTATACAGCTATATCTAAATGTGTAAAGGTACCTATTAAAAATTCCCTTCAGGTTCAGTGAAATACTCTCCTGAAATCCCTTAACATTCCTCAACAGGCATGGGTTGCACCTAGAGGAAGGCATGGGGGGGGGGGGGGGGTATCAACCTAGCCCTTGTCATCAGTGACGGTCTTTTCTATATTGCAGATTTGAGGGTTCACAAGTTCTGGGGTGTGTCCCACTCAGAGGGAGGTGCTGGTACAGCCCACTGCAGTCCAGGAGAGCTCAAAGGGCCTCATTTAGGACCACTGTTTATAGGGTCGCAAGTTGATTGTCTTTTGTCATCCTCAAAGTTTCCATCCTCAGGTTGGTAATTACTGAAGTTTTGAAAACATTTGGAAATTGTTTCCAAAAGTCCAGCAACAATGGTAGTGTTCCACCTGGGCTACCATTCAGGTAGAGAATATTCCAAGACTGTCAGTGGATGACTAGCTTTGTTCCCTACCTTGGTCAGGCAGTTAATGGTTCCCGTTATTGTCAGTGTCATTTCCACCTTTTCCATTCAAGGGCTCCTGGTATGGTCAGGGGCACTTCACTGTCCAACTGGTACTGTAAAGGGTGCTTCACTGCCCAGCTGGTTTGGTCGAGGCTTGTCAGGAACTTCTGAGATTGTAGAGCAGGCCTGAGGGCAGGCGATGAAGGAGTGTACCAACGTCTACATCACCTTACAATTTGTTCCATCTATTTTTTAATTTGTCCATTGTCTTATTTTCTTCTTTGTGCAGCATATGTCATTTAAAGAGCCGTCTTTTTAAGATCCCTTATTACCA